ATGAAGCAGAAACAGCCTTGAATGAGAATGTTTTCCTGCAAGCAGAAGAAGAACTCTTCAGCACTCTGCTAACAAACAAACAAGCACAAAACGCTTCTGTTTCCCCCATTAGAAGAAGAAGAGCTGCATATTTAAAGTCACTGCTCACTGACGGGGCCGATTGCTGCCCACACCTCCTCTCCTGATCGTGTCTGCTGACCTGTCATTGACACATAACGTCGATTTACCTTTATCACTCAGCACAATGAGCCCATTGTGTTTATCTGGGGAAGTGAGACCAATAACTTCCAGCCTGCATTTCAACGGAGCAGAGATAACACAACATGGTGAGATTTATTCACATCTTTCAGCAAGATAAGAAACACTGAGAAATATAAGTCCTTCCAAACGATTACTTTAAAGGCGCAGTCAGTAGAAATGTTTGTAAACACAACATTCATGGACCCCTCCTCCTGGGCTCATCCCCTCCAGTCACTGGCAGGAGGAAACACACCAGCTCCACCCAGAAACTTCCCCGAGTCAACCAGAACAAAGCAGAACAGTTAAATCCAGTCAGAGGACAGAGTCTCTGCAGACACAGTCACCACCACACATGTATGGAGGCCCAGAAGGGACAATGGAGGAGCTTAACTTTAGGAGAAGTCTGTATTTTATTTTGAAAGTCCCTACATAAGTCTGTATTTTATTTTGAAGGAGAAAGCTCCTGACTGGATCTTTAACTGACCTTTTCTTGCTTTCCAGCTTTAATCAGCGTTTAAAAACAAACTGGTCAAAGATCACAAACGCAGACACCTGGCCTGCACTGGAGCAGGAACAAGGAAACACTTTGTAAATCTCTTTTCAGCACTTCAAAGACACGGTGACAGGTTTACTCTGGTGAGATAACACGCATATCAGATCAATTCTGGTCAGCCTAAATAAACCAAACGACCCCGAGCTGACCGAAGATAAGACGGGAAGTGACGTCCTGAGCATGAAACCAATAGAACAGGATTTTACACCCTTGAGAGATCACTCCCTCTCTATTTCATAATCAAATATGCAACTCTGCTGGTTTACTCATCCAGCTGCCTCTAGGGCTCCCTTAACCCCCCTGCCCTCCACCCCTCCCATCCTGCCCAGTGTCAAAAATGTTTTACATTTCCTCTCTACTGTGAGTCATGTGCTCTGTGACCAGGTTTCCACAGAAGCCTTGCATTCTCTCTCTCTCTCTTTCTCTCTCTCTCACACACACATCAAGCTCATGGCATGATGTCACATGTATCAGGTATCAGGAGTAAAATGTTAACAGAGATCTCCATCGGCTTGTCACAGCGCAGACTCAGGCATGCAGCTCCAGAGCCGTCATGTGTTTAGATTAGTGACTCTGCTCATCTCCTCTGACCTGCTCCCAATTGATTCTCCTGTGACAGCTGACAAACAAGCAACACACACACACACACACACACACAGTCATGTGAGGGGCCGTCTGGGGTCATGTGAGTTGGGGGCCTCAGTGGTGACTTGGTACTACTTGAAAACTCTCGCTCTGCTTCTCGCCTTGTTGCTCTCCCAGTTAAGCTGCATACTCTACATAACTGATTCCTCATACAGTAAAGATATTCTGATAAGTGAAGGATGAAAGGAACACACACATACAGTCCTGGTGTAATGTGTTATTCTGAGTGAAAACTGGGAGTACTGTGTGGCGGGGTAAATGATAGCACTATTGATCTCTGATGCTCTTTTATAGCCCTGTCATGTCAGTTTAGCACCTTGGCAACACTCACTTTGGAGCTGCATCAATACTGAACGCTGGCGCTCAGCTAAGAAGGATAGAGAGAGACGGATGGAGAGAGAGAGAGAGAGAGAGAGTGAGGGAGGGAGGCAGAGCGAGGGAAAACAAACATGAAAGAATCCACTTTGAGGTTAAGACTTTAACGCTCTAACCTTCTGAAGAGTGAGGAAACACTCCTGTCGGCCTGATGCATTGTTAGCTGTTAGCCCCATGCTAACAGCTAAGGTTTCAGGATTACGCTGCATGAGTCATTTTAAAATGTCTCTGCACATCTGTGTTTCCTTTGACTCTCAGGTGTAATCAAAGTGCTTAGGCCCCGTGTCCACCCAGTGTCTTTCCGGGCTGAAATGCGCTGGCTGTGCACTCGGGAGCGTTTGCATGAAGCGTTTGTGCGCTGAGAGGAAAAGCGCTGCACAGCCGTCCTGTCTCTATCACAACAGTCTGTTGACAACAGCCGCTGTATGACCGACACTGCTCTGCTACTTTTTACTGCATGTTTTATATTTGAGATCAGACACAGAGCGAGGAGGATATGGGTACAAGACACGATCCATAGGAGGAAAAGATACTAGGCATATCATTTGGAAAAAGAGCACCAATGACATCAGCAGCGCTTTTCTGAAAAGTTGAAAGATTTTCAACTTAAGCGCTCGGCTTCTATGAAATCTGATTTGCAGTTTTATTATTCATCACTGAGGAGAAACTATTGGTCACCAACAAAGCTTCCAGATTCCTCCTCGCCATAAGAGACGGATATAATCATGATAAGAGTTCAAATGTTCAAGGACCCCATTAGCTCCTGGATGATTGGCGAGTTGAAAAGAGCGCCGGTGATGTCAACAGCACCTTTCTGAAAAGTTGAAACATACAAGGCGAAACCCTCGGAGAAGCCGAGCAAAAAAAGGCAGAGCACTAAAAGAAGGTGCTGGGCAGCGTGCTGTTTCTCCAGGTGGCTGCGACCTGCTGCAAACGCTCTCTCCTCATTGGTAGGGCGGAGGGCAGAGGGCAGAGGGCAGAGGGCCGGGACTAAGGGTGGAAGGTGTTGGGTGGACACGGCCTTAAGAGTCCTGTTAAAGTATTGTCCGCCATCCCACTGCAGAGCTGTCCGTTTTAAGGAACCCTAGAGACGGGTTGTCGTTCAAGGGGTCCCTCTGGCTACTGTTTGAAGTCCTGTCCCCGTCCTTTTAACCACATGGTTAATGTTAAACGTGTGTATCCATGTCATGGGTTCAGACATAAATCATTAATTTGTATCGATCATAACCTTCACATCACCCTACAATCACTTCCCTATCTCACTTTTCCTGCTGGCTGTGTACAAACTTCACCTTCTTAATCTTTGAGTGTGAGAACTGAGCCGGTCTGAGCGCTGGACCAGGTCCATTATGATTAGCATTTTAGCCTTTGAGCCGATTTCTAGAAGCTTTATTGGTCAGTGGGGAAGTAACCGCCAGCCACACAGAAAGTTTCCATCTCCCACTCAGCAGTGAGAAACACGTAATCATTAATGATCACAGAACTCGAGTTGAGAGTCGAGATGGTCAGACATCAAGTAGGAGTGACACCGGCCGCACAGAAGAGCTCGTCTTTGTTCTATAATCATTTTAATTCATGCATTCACTTCACACATTCATATAGCTGCTTTCACACTTGCAGAAAACTCCTGAAACACTCCTGATATTTTCCTGCTGAGCGTCATGTGTGAACACAAACAGCTGAATGTTTCTCTCTTCACCCGGAGTTTCTCCTCCAGCCTCCTCGTATTTATTCTGCAGAAAGTCAGAGTGAGCTGATGATAGAACACAGCAGGATATATTCAGGAGAATTCACCTGGAGCGAGTGGGAGGGGGGTGGTGACGTTTATTCCCTGTGATCGCTGCACGACCATAGACTGTCTGCACGCCACCTCTACCATCTCTGTGCCCTAATGAACCTGCTGCATTATGTTTCCTGTTCTCCAGTATGTTCTTCTCTTTAGTTGATCTCTAGGTCTACCCTGAGGGTCTCTTTCTAGTTGGGCATGCCCAGAAAACCTCCAAAAAGGAGGCGTCCGGTTGGAACGAAGATCAGCTCCCTCTTCACCACGACGCCCGCAATACTGCTGACGCTGAACCAATCCGCCTGTCTCACCCTCACTGTGAAGGAGACCCTGAGATACTTCAATTAAAAGAGTCACTCCCCACCCAGAGATAACATAGTCCGATAGACATGGATCTGGAGGTGCTGACCCTGGACTGCTGTGGTCCTGGTCTACAGGAGACTCTGAAGGAGAGAAGTCCTCCACCTTTTTGTCTCTAAAGTGTCATCGCTTCATGGCTGAATAACCGAGCTAAATCAGTTTCTTTTGTGTGTCACATAGACCGCTTGATGTTACAGCTGATGGTGACAGCACAAAGAACAGAGTGGGCGTGTCTTACCCCCCCTCCCCAATCCCTGTTAATACAGCAACGGTCGAATGGCATTATTTGAATTTCCACGGTCTATGCACTTCAGCTGAAATGCTGGGGTTTAGTTACCCTTTAAACTAAACGACTGTGAGGTGGTTTTACAACCCGAGCCGGTCTAAGAAGCGTGGTGGGTCCTCTTTGATTCTTTTCTTAATCTTTAAGCTGAGTTCTCGTCGCTTTATCGGTCACTGGGAAAGTAATCCGGCACTGGGAACGTCTCCAAATCCAACTCAGGGTTGAGAAACACATATTTATACACGTCAGGGTTGGACATTAGCACCCATCCCCCGCAAAATACGGCAGATTTTTTTAGCAGTGATGGGTGAATTTGCTCAACCTCCCCTGACAAACATGTAAAGACGTAAAACTCCATCACAGTTGATGACCCAATGTCGACCTGATGAAGTCACACTGCTCGTTGTTTCACAGAGTAGAAGTCTCTATCATATTGTCCACTTTCATCCATGCATGCTGCCGTTGTGCAGATGGATTATCGGACACCTGGCGTTGGATAACGCTCGTACTCAGCACAGATGGTTCTGAGATTGGCTCTCACTGACGCTTCAGTTGTGTTTGTTGAAGCAGAAAATGAACCCTGTTTGCATTATGTGATATTCACTAAGTATTGGATTTGATCTGCTGTATCTGTTTCTACAGCGCCGCCGTCACGCCGTCATCAACACAGAGGTTTAATGACTTTGTTTGGATCTGTGTCGCGGCCTTCCCACGGCTGTGTGTTTATGAGGAGTGTGCTTGTGTGTTTGTATGACACTGACCGGTCGCAGGAGCACGCCACGAGCACGCTGAGCAGGTTATAGATGATGAAGGTGAAGATGACGGCTGTGATGGTGCCGCGGGGGATGGAGTAGCTCGGGTTGGTCAGTTCACCTGGTAGACAGACAGATATAAGGTCTCTCTCACACACACACACACACATTAAAGGATTATAAACGGCTTCACTGACCTGACATGTTGGATCCTGCCATGATGCCGGTGCAGCCGTTAAACATCACAGCGAACACGGTGGCAAAGGTCATCATATTTCCTGTAGTGTAATCCACGTTGTAGTCAGCTGTTGGAGGAGATAACAGCAGGAAGTCAGTGTTGTTGTGTTTTTTATTATCAGCATCGTCACTCTTCAAACAGAACGTCGCTGCTCGCCTCCACACCTCAACATGTGACTACACAAAGAAAAGTCATTTGACTTCATAGGACATGGAGCTGCTCGTCTACTGTTGCCTGGACCAGCAAAGATCAGATACGCTAACAAACAGAAATTTTGAAGCAGCAGCAGCCCAGGTAAGTTCTTTAAATTAAGACTTTGCTCTTTGCATCTTTGTTTTTGAGTCACTTATCTGCGTGCGCCCACAAACGTCAGGCCACCCCAGTTTAAAGGGGTGGAGTCTGGACACGCCCCTGGCTACTGACATCGGTGCATGCCACATTATTCACTGATGTGTTGATATCTGTCGACATGGCCGATATCAATGTTAAACTAATGCAGCAGTGCATCCTACATACAATCAATACCAAAACAGTCAGACTTCATACCAATATGTCTCCAGCTGAAATATAAACCAAAGCTGCTGAGGAGACTTTGCTCAACCCTACCAAACACATTTTTACTGTGATGTTCAGACACAACTCCAAAAGTTCTACTTTTAAGCCAATCAGCACAAAGTATGACGGCATGATAGTCAAACACGACCACAGCAGCAAAGCACCGCCTCTTCACTCCGGTTATTCTGCTCCTTTAAGAGTTAAGTTAGAGGATTTCAGAATAAATGAAGATGATTCTTTTCTCTTTGAAGTGAGATACGTGGTTATAGACTGATATGTGTGTCTGAGTGTTTGTGACCTGTTCAGTGTGACTTTAGGATTATTCAAGGCTTGACAGTATAATAGCTCTCACATGTGTCTGCATTCATCCTCCATTAAGGCCACTTAGCTAAGGAATCATGTGAGTGGAAAAATAAATTCCTGCAAACAGAGTGGTGAGTTGTCCGTGGACGAGCAGAGAACATGTTCAGATCAGCCGTAACAGTGCAGAGAACTCGTCACCACAGCAGGTTCCTGTATAAAGCTTTAGTGAAGGAGTGAAGAAAGTGAAGGAGGTCGAGTATCTCGAGGTCTTGTTCACAGACAGGGTAAGAGTGAGATGGACGGGCGGATTGGCTCAGTGTCTGCAGTAATGCGGGCGTGGTGAAGAGGGAGCTGAGCCTGAAGACAAAGCTCTCTGTTTACCGCTCGATCTTCGTTCCAGCCCTCAACTGTGGTCTTGATCTTTGGGTAGTGACCGTGTCTGGGCTCAGCCTGAGAGAGGGGGGGAGGAGCTCAGACATTCAGGGGGAGCTCGGAGAAGAGCCGCTACTTGAAAGGAGCCCGTTGAGATGGGACGGGCCTCGGAACGCATCAGAATCCCCCTAGGAGGATCTGGAAAATCTGGGTTGACTAAGAAGCCTGCTGCCACCGCAACCCGACCTCGGATCTTCATCCAGCAACCATTCAAAAATAAAAGATTAAAGGCCTAAAAAGTTCAAATCTGTCATTACTAAACAATAAATCTATATAATTCCTCGCTGCATTTCCAATCCAACTTTACACTTTAACCCTTTAACACAGGGCTTGTTATTGAGTCCCGGCTTAACTCGCAGCTAAACCGGTTCACAGCAATAGAATGAAAATTGATTCAATTTCCACAAGACATTGTTTCCCACTGCGGTTCACTTCTGACCTACTTACTTATGAAGTAGGTCCTGTCTTTAAGTCTGCCATTGGCCTGATGCCAAAATTAAGATTTGTACAAGTTTAAGTTCATAACGGCCGTGTGGCAATCAAGGGGCACAATGAGTTTTATCACCATAACAGCTGAACAATACGGAACTAAATCCTACTGCTCTTATTTTGACGAGGTGATTGTGACATGAAGCTGCACAGTGGTTCAGTGGTTAGCACTGTCGATTTGAATCCCTGTCTGACAGGAGCCTCTCTGTGTGTAGTTTGCATGTTCTCCCCGTGCATGTGTGGGTTCTCTCCGGGTACTCCAGCTTCCTCCCACAGTCCAAAGACATGCTCGTTAGGTTAACTGCTGACTCCATGCCAGCCCTGTGATTGGCCGACATTGATTGAACTTCACTTAAAGCTGAAGTCTCAACACGTTTAGACGGATTAGTTCGATTTGCAACTCCCAAAAACCAAACCACCACCAGTCCTCCCCTCGTCGTCTATGTTGTTGATTGATTATAATCTAGTAAATAACACCCCCTTTACCTTTCAGGTTAAACAGCAGAGTGTCCAGCTTGAAGCCCGTAAAGTTGCCCGTGGTGGGAAACTCGGACCCATTGAAGAAAGCCGAACCGGGCAGCGTGATGGTGCGAGGTCCCACGGTGAAGAAGCTGACAAAGATGGTGCCCAGGACGAACATGACAACCAGGAAGATGATGAAGGTGGCCTTGGCGTAGATGTGGGCGCCCACCAGGCACACAAGCAGACACACCAGGGCGACAGCCGTGCCGTACAGCAGAGACCACCAGTAGCCTGATGGCAGGACCTGGAAGTGGGACGTTGGCAGCGTCCCATCTAGAAGGGTCAAGGGAGGATGTGATGAGCGGAAAGACGAGGGGAGAGATTTGTTAATGTAAACATTGACTGAATAGCTTGACCATACCGTCCCCGTTGGAGATCATAAAATATTGAACTCACCTTCTGGTATTCCGAAGGTGGCCACGATGGCTTCAACCAGACCCAGCACATAGAGAGCGCAGCCGCACACGTTAGCAAAGAAGAACATGATGCCAATACTGCCACCGAACTCCGGGCCCAGCGCTCGACTTATCATGTCTGATCGAAGTTAAGGAGACTGACTTTAGAGACAGAGAGATTTAGTCTTTACTTTAGAGGTATGAAGGGGCTGGTTGTCTCCTTTCAGAGGGTTTGAGTCCAGATAAAAATCAGAGTAGAGTTAAGTACCTGGAACCTTTCAAGGGGGAACTTTTCAAGGCTGGCGTGCCGAGAAAAAAGGAATTCCCGCGGTAATGATAGATTACACCCGCGACAGCGTGAGATAATATGATGTATGTGGTATAAAACCGTATAAACACAACAGCAAACACACATAAGGTCATTGTTCTGAGCCCTCAAAACGGAGTGTTTTATTCTGAAAATGAACAGGATGTCGTTTTGGTGCCTGACTTCCTGTCCTGCTCGATCTGCTCTGTGGTGATATGATGCTCAGTGCTCCAACATCCTGCAGAAACAAAAGCTTTGTGTATCTGCTGCAGAGGACTGACGGAGCTGAGACGCCAGAGGAAGCTCACACTGCTGAGAATCCGACTGGAACACTCCAACTGACCATCGTGTTGATGGTCGGTATCATCAACACGATGGTCCAGTTAGATTTTGTTTTCATGTGGACAAAGATGTTTTTGAGAACTGAGCGTGTGGACGGTAACCTCCGTTTTAACACCCCCCTACATGTGGGCCAGGACTGGTGTGTGTGTGTGTGTGTGTGTGTGTGTGTGTGAGTGTGAGTGTGTGTGTTGAGGATACAGTATGCTCCTCCAGCATCCAAGGCTCCGTTGGTGGAGATGGCGCAGACGGACAGCACAGTCATGGAGATGATGAAGTAGGCCACCAGGAACATGGCGATAGCTTGGTAGAGTCCAGAGTGGCCGACCGCAAACCCTAGGAGGAACAACAAAGACAGAAACTGTCAGAATAAAAGCAGGTCAGCCGGTCAGAAGCAGAACTGCTGCCTGTGAAGAAGTGCAGATAAAAACGAGAAGCTGAATTCACTGGGAAGTGAAACGACAGCGTGGCATGAGGGCCACTCTGACAGCCATTGAGTGTTGGAAAGAGAGACTGCAGAAGTTTACCATCAGTTCACTCTGGGAATCTTTTATTGCATCATATGAAAGCCACCATCTGCTTTCGCACTAAATGACTCATTGTTACATTTCTACTTCCTCAGAGTGAAAGGCAAATCTACTTTCCTGGAATGTTTTTTTGATCCACCTTCTACCAATTATCAATTAATCCATTCAGTTATTTGTACAGGTAGGCGGTTTTAAGGCACCCCCACATGGCCGTTTTGGACACCCCTCGGTTTGCCAGACATGAGAGCAGTTATCAGGTCAAACCAACAGGTGTTGCAGAGATGGAAGCGGGCAAGAGAACTGGTTCAGATAGAAGTGATTGTACCCGACCTAAAAAGCCTCTGCATGTTTCTAATAAGCTCCACGAGCAGAAAAGTGCTCAAACTAGGATCAATATTGGAGATGCTTTTGAAAAATGGAGAGAGGTTAGAACACAGAAAGGTTTACAGACCGATGCAGAGCTGGATAAACACTGAAGCTTCAGTGACCACCACATGGCAACCTGTGTTTGCGTCGACTCCAGAGAGGAGGGGGGGGGGGGAGACAGCTCTCTACAATGTTTAGAATTTAGACTGCAGTACCCATTTTAAAAACAAGGTGTCAAAGTTACATACTGCTTCTTTAATCTAAAAAATTTGGCACTTTACAGTTTAACTGGGTTTGGGTGAAATGTAATGGATTTAAACAGGAACAGATTAACGTCTGAAAACACCACATTGTTGTCCAAAGAATCAATATAATTTCGAGGTTTTGACCGATACGGGATAATGAGGGCCGATTCCAATACTGATAAATATCAGCTGATATCTTTCTGAGGTTTATCTTCAATCTTTACTCTAAACTTAAACTCAATAAACTGAGTAACATCGGCACATATCATTGATTAAAGTAGCCATAGTCACGTGATATGCTAATATCGGCCGATATTTGATCCAAGATGGCGGTGTGCACGGATGCAGTGGCTTACGGCTCTCCCTACAGGTGCTTTTTTTGTTCAGTGTTTTGGTGAATACTTGCGCAAACCGCCAGGACTTACTTTTATCATTATGTTGTATAAGGACAACAAAGGCTTTCAACCAACTATTATTGGCCAGCTGGTTAATAAGTCGGGCTCTCTATCCTTCCGCCCATGCATCCATCAAAGTAGACATAGAAAAGTCATGCAATGAACTCAAAACTTTCCACATTGGAAGCAGGGAGCCGTCTTGGTTGTGCATGACTTTGTATTCAACTTGCCCTGTAATAGTTTAGCAGCTGTGATTGGTCCAGCTTGAATTAAGCCGGATGAAGATCAATAAATGTGAGCGAGGCCAGACGGATCCGTCGCAGCAAATGAAACACCGGCTTGTGGATTAGTCTGGTTCCCAGCCTACATTGGAGGACTGATGTTGGCTGATTCAGGGTTTTAGGGACTACTGTAGTCCCTAATCACAGCTCAGAGGAATTACTGCAATAATCAAAAATCACACTTGGACTTTGGTAGAAGTTACATTCAGCCTCTTTCCTCCACAAAGCTCAAACTAATCAGTATTTATCAGGATTTTTATGACTCAAATTTGAGCTTAATTCTTCCGACCAAAGACCGTTTCTGAGATGTTCTGTACGAACCAGTTCAATCAAGAACTCTGAGCCACTGGCCTGACGGGATTTGACAGTTTTCAATCCCGCCAAAGCTCGGAAAAAGTCCGCCTGACATCGCCTCTCTAACTTGTGCAACAAAACAAGTTCAGATATGAACAGATGGCATTTCTTCAAAAGAGCCGTAATTACCCTCATCCATCATCACGTCTTTAACGTTCTGATTCTGAATTCTGAGAAGGCGAAATATCGGCGTCCCAGTCTGTGAGGTCACATTGTGTTTGGGGTTGTGGGATCACGGCACAGCGGGAGCTCCACACACACACAGTCAGACATGCACACACACACACGCAGCGCTGTTCTCCCCCGCTGGCTCAGCTGATCCCATCTCTCCTCTGTCACTACCTTTGAAGACGGTACAGGGGGGGGGGGGGTCACTTCTTCCCAACATTATGCCTCTAAGACATTCAGATTGAAGGAGAGGTGTCACTTAAATATCACGGCTTGAAACGGCGCTCTGAACAGGAGGGTTAAAGGCTCATGAGTGAAACGTTACTAAGAAAGAGTCATGTGCCTTCGATCAGAGTGTGACAGAATACCTCAGAGTCACTTTGTACTCTGTTTATACATTTAAATCCCAGCAGCAGCAGCTTCCTGCTGTGACTAACAGCCGCTCCACCTTTATCTTCTGAGGCGTCACATGAGCCACATATCCACAGGACAGTGTGTCCCTTACTTACCTTTATAGACATGCTTTACGATGATGTGTGACTCAACAGATTATTTTATGTTAAATACGGATGTACTGCCGATCGGTTTGCTTGGGAGAATTTTGGCGTTGATCATAAGTGCACGATGATTTCTAAGATATCTCCTTCGTCCTCATGTTGAAGCTTTCACAGCTGATTACTTTTACAACAGTTTCACATCCACAATGAAACCACTGCCACTTCCTGTGAAGGGTGGCACATCACAGAATGAACACAGTACTCTAATAAAGATTTTCCAAATCCAACTCTCTACTCAGACACAGATAATGAGGGATGTGTGTAGAGAGAGACTATGTGGGTCCACTGCAGAGTGAAACAGGTAATGTCAACATAGCGCCCCCCCCCCCCCCTTCAGGGTTTAAACAATCTTAATAATCCAGCTCCCATTAGAAACCTTGCTGCTAACGTTAAGTGGAGCACAAGCTAAGCAGTCTAACTTTAGCACCAGCTCAGCTCGCAGCCCTTCAGGACTTCCTGTTTCTGCAGAAACTTCTCTCTCTCTGATACATGGTACATTTGTTTTTCCAATAAAAAGAAGTCAGTGCTGATACATTACGACATCATGTTGGTGCTCACACTTTGGAGAAACTTTAATATTAAAAAGTAAATCTCTTAAAAGCTCAATCATCCCCGACTTATCCAACCCATCGGCAAATCTCAGGAAGGTCCAGAACTTGTAAAAACTAAATTTTAGTTCCAGAGGACAAACTCGCTAAAGACTGGGGAAGTGTGCAAAAAGAAAATGAGGTTCTGCATCACACGTCCAGTTAGAAAAGTGTTATCAAACATGTCGATACACGTAGCTATTATTCAAACTCAAAAGACGGATGTGATGGAATCAGACAAACTTTTACTAAGAAATAAAGAAGACACAAAAAAGTTCTCTCAGTCAAATGAAACGACACCACACAGATAAATAACTCTCTTTGCATTTAACTTCAAACTCCACAAAATCAAACCTGCAAACGTCAACAATGCAGCCATGTATACATAAAGGATCCTGGAGCTGTTTAGTGAAGGTGTGAATGAAACCTAAAGTGTTTCTTTAAAGCACATTAACACAGAGTCTGCAGAGACTCCGCTTCCTGCAGACTGAATCCTTTTAATGTGGAAGAGTCACCCATCTCTGATTGACTTGTATCTCATGGTGTGATAACCTCTCAGTGCACACCTAACCCCGTCCCACGGCGGCTTAATTTCCCCTCCAGGGGGTAAGTCTGTGAGGGTTTGGAGCCGGAGTGTCCCGGACCAAAGTCTGGAGAGGTGCCAGGTCACTCCCTGAGTAATGCTGCAGTGCCCTTGAGCAAGGCACCGAACCCCCAACAGCTCAGGTGTGTTCCCTGTGCAGCGGCCCGACTCTGACATCTCTCATCTCTCTGGATTACAGAGTGTCAAACCAAAAGCTCCCCTCTGGGTTTCATTAAAATATTTCAAATTAAAAATAACGGTCTGAACTGAACTCAGAGATCTAAGATGCATCTCGGTCCAAACATCAAAACTAAATTGATAACAAATTATTGGGGACAGAAGATTCTAATATTTCGCCTTTGGACTTGTACCTAAATCAAATCAGTTTGTTGGTTTTCTTCCCAGTGGCCTCCTCCATCATTACTCAAAGATCATGATGTTAAGTCAACTTTTCATGCATGCCAAATTATTCAGGTATCCTAATGAGGGTAAATTAGTTTTATAAATGTAGGACCCTTAGTGACATCCTTGGAATCGTTAAATGACTAAAATGTTGAATGGGGTTTGTTGTGCAGGTCTGATTTGGACATCACGAAACGCTGTGCAGAGATTTAAGTGGAGGCTTGTTATGAACATCACTCACCTACTCTGAGAAACACAACCACGCTGAACATCGACAGCAAGGTGGGGATCACCACCCCGAAGAAGATGGACAGCTTTTTTGGTTGTCTCTGCTGGTTCGGCTTCTGCCTGGGGGTCCCCGGGCGCTGCTCCGGAGCCTGCCCGGCCAGAGGCACCGGCCGGTCGGATTCATTGACGCTGGTTGAGAGGCGGTAGTGGAGGAGAGGAGTCCGCTCGGCCATGGCGCTTCACAACTTCATAAAGTGCTCAAAATGAAAGCAAGCCAGCAAGCTAGCTGTCTCAGAAGAAAAGTCGACACTTTCGAGGAAGTTTTTCTAAGATGCTCCTGATTGACAGCCGGTAAAAACACAACCATAATAACGTCGCTACATGGTTAGAAAGTAAGAAATAAGAGTTTTCAATATGTGTAAAAAAACAACTTCTGTTAAAGCAGTCTGTTAAAATGAGCAGCGCTAACTCCTGGAGGTATTTCACTCATAAAACTGCACCGTCTGCCCGCCGCTGATGCGTTTCTGCTCTTTTTCTCAAATAGAAATCATGTGACGTACACACGTCACGCGACGTCAATCACATAAACAACATCCGGTCGACACTTTCAGTATAAAAGCTTTTGAAGAGCGTGAAGCATGTGCACTAGTCAGGACAAGTTTTTTTGTAAAGCACGTTTGAAACAGTCTCAGCTGAGCAAAGTGCTGCACAGACAAACATAACGGCGTCGAATACAGAAAAAGAGAAGAAATAAACTTTTTTATTTTTAGGTTTATTTTTGGGCTTTTATGCCTTTATTAACAAAAAGGACAGTGGGTAGAGTTAGAAATTGGGGAGAGAGAGAGTGGGGACCAACATGCAGGAAATGAGCCACAGGTCAGATTTGAACCCGGGACTTTGGCCTCCGTACATGGGGTGCGCGCACTAACCGCGAGGTTAACAAATTTGATCTGTTGAGCTCAAAGGTCAGGGTAAAGATTAAGAAAGTATTTTTGGGGGCGTGTAGTAGCTGCACCTGATGATCGCCCCTGAGTTTCTGCTGAGCTCGAGTGACAACAAGGAGAGACCGCTCAGAGGAGCTGATTGATCGTCTTAGGGTGAAATTGGTTAAAAGTTCTGATGAATAAGAGGGGGTTAAATGATGCCGTGAATTAAATACAAGTTCTACTACTTGTGAATTGTAAAATCAACAGAGTGCCAGTGAAGGGAGGCGAGTACAGGAGGATGTGCTCCCGTTTACGTGCAGCAGCATACAACAGAAACAATCAAGAAACAGAAGGCAGGATTAAGAGCCCTCGGCCAAGTTTCCTCTTGATTTGCAAATCTGTGTGCACAGTTTCTAATCCATTCACGCTTATGTGCTATATCTGTGGGTACGCTTTAGTGATTTCTTCATTCAGAGAACATTTCCTCAGCGATCACATCCGCCTCGTAAATCCAATTTATCTGGATTTAATGCCATATTAGGTTTTGCACAAGAGTTTTCACAGCTTTCACTGCACAACGTTCACTCAAAACACCTTTTCAGTTTGAGGCTTGTGCAGGGTGAGCATATTTTCAAACCTCCTAATTGGGACACTTTAGTTTTTATCGTAAACCGACATGTATGGATCTACAGATCAGTGACCTGCTCTGGCCAGACGAGGTGGGCGGTAAATGTTTCCTCCTGAGCAGCTCATTTAAGTTGGTCGTCAGCTGTGAAGTAGGGACCGTTCAAAACCAGGACATGTTAGTGTTTAGATATTTGAGACTTGGGACACAGGGGGTGCTTCTGAATTAAAAAGTGCCTCCACAATCTTTCAGTGGACAGTAGACGGTCCCTTCTCTCCCTACTGTATCCTGTTAGTAGCTCCTGTTCAGTAGGCCGATATTAGTTCCTGCTTCGTCTGATTCATTCAGTGTGGACGTGGCGTCATTAGCGCGCCTCGTGTTATTGACACTCACACTCACACGTGATCTGCACGATTACTCAGTAAATAATACAAAACTTGAAATGGCATGTAAACAATTTAACAACTTAACATCTGAAAGGTATGTTACTCAAACCGACTGCATCATCCTCGTTTGTTTTTGATTTGGAGGCGCACAAGAAGTGATGTTTTACGTCTACAAATATCTTGGCATCCACATAGACAATAAACTTGTGTAGAAGTCCCAGGTGGAAGCTGTCTGCTCCAGAGTGCAGCAGAGGCTTCACTTTCTGAGAAGACTCAGGACCTTTGGTGTGTCCCGGGAAGTGCAGCTTCTCTTCTACCGTGCAGTAGTAGAGAGCCTCCTACGATATGGTATCTCTGCATGGTTTGGAAATTTGACCGTTCAGTCAAAGGCCCAAATCAACAGACTCACAAAGACATCATGGGAGTTCATCAACACCCGAGCCTCCAAGACATCTTTCAACAAACCATAATCAGACAGGCACAAAAAATAATCTCAGACCCATCTCATGTTCTTCACCCTGAGTACCAGCTCCTCCCCTCAGGCTGACGATACAGGGTACCCCGAGGGAGGAACAACCATTTCAGAAATACCTTTGTTCCCTTGTCCATCAAAGCCCTCAACAGTACCTAAGCTGTCGTGTGTGTATATGTGTGCATGTATGAAGTGGTGTGAGTGTGTGTGTGAAAATGTGTAGCTGTACCTGCATTGTTTATCACTTTTCTTAACGATTACATATTTATGGTTTTAGTAATTCACATGTATGGAATTTAATGATTAGTTAACTGACATGTTTTACAGACGAATTAATGTATTTTGTTATTTTTCTACAGCATCAGAGCTCTGTGAAGACAAATTTCCCAATGGGACAATAAAGTTAATCTTAATCTTAATCTATGATGAAATGTTCAGAATACTGAGGCGGACCCAAAAAATTATCACTGAACGACCACGAGGGTTGAGACTACTGAACAACCACGAGGGTTCAGATAACTGAACAGGGTACGGCCCAGGTTCAAACCCCACCTGTGGCTCCTTTCCCGCATGTCATTCCCTACTCTCTCTCCCTGATTTCTGAATCTATCCACTGTCCTATCTCTCAATTAAAGCCCCCAAATAAATCTTTAAAAAAAAATTAAAAAAAAGAAAGGGCCAGAGCATCAAAACAGGTCGATGAGGGTCAAATCAGGACGTAAGGTCACCCGAGGCTCGAGTGGAAGGTCCATGAATTGTTCTCTGAAGAAAGAGGTCATGTTCACAGATCAGTTCCTACAGTTTATGAAAATGTGCCCACGAATGACAAATCAGCGAGAAGTTTAAAAATCTGTTGGCATGGATTTAAAAATGTGCACACAGATTTGTAAACCGAACTCCCTTTTACACTTTCTTTTGAGGATAGACTCTAAAACGTGATATGCGGATGCTTTTATTTTTGTAGCTTCCGTTTTTCCCTCGCCTGCCTCTCTGTCTCCAGCTTGACCACATGTTTCTAACGCCTTTCTTCCCTCCTGTGTTTTCCAGCCTGTTGCTTTTGGTCATATGATCATGTGGGCTGACCAATCAGAGCGCTGCATTCTCCCGGACTCCTGCCAGTGGGAGCTTTTTCACGGCATCAGCACCGACAGGTAGACGGGAAGTAAATATTCCTGAGATTAAAAAAACATAATCTAATTTCAATATTAAAGCCCCTGTTAGAGATGTTTAACCGTTTATAAAAAATACTGAAATTAATAGTGCAACAAAAGAAAACAAGACCATCAACAATGTAATGAACTATTCCTATGAATTATTTTTTTTTAACCTGTAACCATTAAAACACAGACAAGAGACTAAAACAAGAAGGAACAATAATGAGAGGGCAGCACGGAGTCTTTCCTTTTAAAGTGCTGACTGTTTCATTTGAATAATCAGAGTGATCTGAATCATAGAGAGAGTAAAGTTTATTCATGAACCGTTTAACAGACAAACATCACAAAGTGCTTTACATCAACAAAAATCCACTTGAAATAAAAACAGGAACAAACAAGCAGCTGATGGACTGACATCATAAAATCCTAGAACTATAATCTGCAGAGAAGAGAACATCATTACACAATCGACTCGTTTCAATGAGGTCAGTCACAGAGACCAGACCCTGACGCCCTGAGACCCTGACGCCCTGAGACCCTGACGCCCTGAGTCTTGGTAGTTAGTCACAGAGACGAGACCCTGACGCCCTGAGTCTTCTTGGTCAATCACAGAGACCAGACCCTGACGCCCTGAGTCTTCTTGGTCAATCACAGAGACCAGACCCTGGCGCCCTGAGACCCTGACGCCCTGAGTCTTCTTGGTCAGTAACAGAGACCAGACCCTGACGCCCTGAGTCTTCTTGGTCAATCACAGAGACCAGACCCTGGCGCCCTGAGACCCTGACGCCCTGAGTCTTGGTGGTCAGTAACAGAGACCAGACCCTGGCGCCCTGAGACCCTGACGCCCCAAGTCTTCCTGGTCAGTCACAGAGACCAGACCCTGGCGCCCCGAGTCTTCGTGGTCAGTCACAGAGACCAGACCCTGGCGCCCCGAGTCTTCGTAGTCAGTAACAGAGACCAGACCCTGGCGCCCCGAGTCTTTGTGGTCAGTAACAGAGACCAGACCCTCGCCCTGCCTAGGTCTTGGTCTTGTCCCGGTCTCAGAGCACTCTGGTCTCAAGTATGTCTTTGTCTCGGTTATTGTGGTCTTGACACTACAAAACAGGTTCGTAGTGATCCAAGTCCAAACTCCCTCCCTGAAGTCTCCCAGAATCGAGCTCTGTGGTTCCAGTTAAAGGTCGGTTAAAGGTCATTACCAGCATGTTCCTAAATATCTGATTGCCAATCAGAAAGGGAAATACATCCACACTATCGAATGGATTGAGATAAGTCAGCACTTTAACCCTTTGCATGTATTTTATTAATTAGACGGCGTCTTTACGACTCATTTTCACAGATTTAGTGGACGCAGATTTTTCTTGGAATCAGGCCCCAGAGTCCTTGTGGTCAGTCGGTCAGAGTTAAGCTGTACTCTATTTATTCCTCAGAAGAAGAATTACACACATTTATCTGGGAAAGCAGCTTATCAAGCCTCAACAAGCCTGACAAACCCCTCAGCTCTGTTTCAGATCATCTTTCCACACACTCCTACAGTCCCTCCATGGGAGTTTCATTACATTCAACTCATCGTTATTGCTCCTCCCTTCGGCCTCCTGAACCACTCACTGGTTCATGTCCTCATGAATCCTCGTTTCCAGAGTAAATGGAAACATCCAGGATCTTAACAATCCAGGTCTCTACGTCCACGTCGAGCTTGTCCAGCTCTCAGGAATCGTCTGTCCTGTGCTCTGCGTGGCACAAACTGTCTTTAAGGTCGACAGCAAGGCGCTCCAGTTTCCCCTTCAGCAGATTCCTGTACCGTTCCAGCACTTTGGTCAGACTGGTTTGAGGGGGACTGTTTGGTACTTCAGGATGAGATGACGTCTCCCTGTCAGCCTGTAAGAGTCCAAAAGTAGAATACGTTTAATGCTCAGCGAAATACAAAAATGTGCTTTACCAACATAGGGTCTGAGCCCCCCTCAGGGGTGCGTCAAAGTTCCTGGGGAGGGGGCGGGGGGTAGCACACTTATTGGATATTTTATGCAACAGTCTTTGAGTGTGTGTATCTCTTCGTGGTGTGGGTTTTGGGGGCTCAGCTCTTCAAGCATTTCTTAGCTTACTGTCACTTATGAAGTTGGACTCGTGCAATTCAGGGGTCCAGGTGCACTAAAGACCGTCAAATGTTGTGTACCGTAGCCTCCCAGCCACTAGGTGGGGCTATAGCTCCGGTCAGTGGCTGCAGACATCCAGTCTAATGATACCAAACCATCCGTGGTGTGACCATAGACAGTAAAAATAATGGACGGGACAAGGTCCCAGGTGTAGTGAAGCTTTTATTTTTAGAGCTCCCCCTACTGACTGGCTGCAGTATAGGTCATAAACCCTGCCTCCTCAATGATAACAGACGGGATGTGGGTCAAACTGTAAAGCTAAAATACTCGTCACATAATTTTTTTCCAAACCTAAACTCTGCTGTGATCATTAGTTATTATCACCCTACATTGTGTTCAAGTGCTCATTTTTCTGTGAAGTTTGTTTTAAATAAGTTATTTGAGGTTGAAAAACGGGATTTTACGTCATATTTGACGATGATTGACAGCCGCCGATCTTGCTTAGCTCTCTTTGTGAATAACAAAAGTTACGTAGTGAAGGAAAGCCGAGACGCCATTGAATTTTTCCGTTCAGTTTTTTCATCTTTTTTGAGCTGGCAAAATGAGTTGTTCTGCAGTAAACTGTTCTAACCAACCTGTGGGAGCGAAGGGATCTTTGCAGTTTTTTCGGTAAGTAAAAAGTGTGATTTATGTGTCATTGGTTGGTTAAAGTCGTCATCTAGCTAGCTAACACATAAGCAGTCTAAAGTTAGCTGAAATGTTGTAACGCTAGGTTACTTATCCGGCATGATTTATCTTTTTATTTTATTTTATTAAATGAGCAAACCTAATAACTGACATGTTATGTTTCTTGATATTGTTATATTGTTATTGTGATTGAAATTGTATTTAAAACCAAGAATCGTAATATAAAATCCACTCATAGAGGCGGTTCATTGACTGTACAGTTATTTTACAGCAAAAACAAAACGTCTGGTAAGGTCTCAAAAAAGTATGTAGGACAAAAACAAAGTCATGTAATTGTAATCTGGCCTGCATCATTACTAATGTGTCCATGTTTACAGTCTGAGTGATAAGTGGGCTATACCGAGAGTAACAGGTTTTACTTTCACCGTGCAGGCTGAAATTCATGGGACTATATACGAGGGTAGAATATTTCTCTATGTATCCAGATAAAACTAAAGGTAAGATCTGATTTAATATAACTGTTACTGATTTAAGAGACTAACCGAAACGTGAACGCAAACATCAACAACCGGCGGCGGTGTGATGCAATATTAACCGAGCATCATGCTGCTTAAACTGATAAATATTCTGCATTGTCTTCCACACACAACCAATTCAACAGTCACAAGTTGATCATATTGTAAATTTAATGACACTCATAGAGAAATTGTTCTAAAAATGTACAAAACCTGACAAACTTTGCGGTGATTGTGACTGTGTGTCTGTATTTAACACCTTTGAAAGGAAGGTGTTAATGCAGGAGACCAGTGTTACACACAACATGCTGCTGTTTTTTTTTATAACTCATCGGATTTTATTCTATTAAGGAAAACGACTATGCCCATATTTGGTTGTGTCAGATTTGATTGACAGCTCTGCGCGCTGCATCTATCTGTCAGGAGGCTAACAGCTTGATCCGTCTGATTTCTCCTCTTTCTTACTTCGTTTGGAGAGTTTGTTTAACACATATCTGACAACATACATGGCTTGCTGTGCGGTTAACAGACCATCCAACAAGTTGACGCTTCAGTTTTTTTCGGTAAGTGATATAGTAGTGTTATATTTACTGCTTACTCGTGTTTATATTTACGGACCTAGCTTGTTTAGCGTTAGCTTGTAAACCAGTCGGCTAATTGTGTAGCTCATTATTTACATTATTTACGGTCAGTGGTTTAGAAATGTTTGTTGTTAAGATGTTGTTGTTGAAAATAATGAGTTTGTGTGATGTTAGAAGCTAAAGGTTCACCTCAGTTGTTATCTGATGTTATGATGAATGTTTTACTCCACGATACGTAAATGTGGACATTAAAAACAAACTTTGTGTAGTAATTATCCGTCAGTAACATAAACTGAACTGAACCTAATCTGCTGTGTAGGTTATAGAGGATGACATTAAAGTTACATGGTTGATGTAGTGTCTTAAGATTTGAGTAAACTGTTAACAAATTTAAAAAGAAAACTATATTAATAACCATATTAATTTTCACTGAACTCATACACAGAATATAGCTGTAGAAATATAAAATATAAATAACATATGGAATGAAAATAAGATTTAAAGCACATAGATATAAAGTATAAGAAATAGTTTGAAGAATACAGCCATGTACTGAGCTCATGTTAATAATAAATGAGTTACTGTATGTTGGGTACTGAAGCACAGAGAGTTGGGACCTGTTAATGATTTAAATAATTCAGATTATATTTGTTTCATGTTAAGATGAAGTACTATCCACAATAAACTGCTTAATTTTTCCTCACACAAAATCTGAGATCATTTGATGTGGAATATCATTGTGTGAGTGAGAGAGCTGAAAACAGCACGATTACAATAATGTTTATCTTAACTTTGAATATATGTTGATAATCTGAATACTGTACCTTTGTTGTCTGGGTAGTACACTGTTGAATTTATAAATGTGCTCTTACACACAGATGAATACAGAAAAATAGATGAGAATAAAAAAATGATTTAATGAATAACTGATATTTTCTCTCTTTCTTTGCCATCTTGAAGACCCCTCATTAAAAGTCCATGTTCTCCTGGATCCATGTCACATGGCTTCTTCTGAATGACTTTTCAACAGTCGAAGTTCTGCTGAGAGAAGATAGCCAGCAGATAAGACAGCAGTACATCAAGGAGCTCCACAGGCTTCAGGAGGAGGAGGAGGGTTTGCACCTTGGAAGACTGTATTCATGCTGTTCAAATAAAACTAGATCTCCTCCAAACAACTTGCAATCAAACCATTTTCTTCCCATTTTAAAACCCTTGTCCAGTTTAGATGGGAGAAGTTGATATTATGTGATATTGATCAGGGAAGACTACATTTCTAAATCATTTTTAACTGTGTTTTTATTCACAAGTTATTGATCTTATTTACTCTCGATGTATCTTGATTTAAGAATGGGGCTGTGTTTAAGGTCATATTTTTGCAATGACTCTGTTCCATCCCACTTTCAGAAATGAACGAAGTGAATGTTTTGATGACTCATCAGTTTTGATTTGATGAAGGATAAGAGTTATTCACAAGGCGTGTAGCTGACCAGCTTGACAGGTGGGCGCAGTGTAATGGTTTGTCAAGAGGCTTAAAACCCGCCTCAGCTCTCAGTCTGTGGGTGACATCACTCAGGCCATCCAGGGGAGACCTCCCTCACAGCGAGCTGTTGAAGAGAAACAACCGAAGAACCCCAGAAGAACCAACAAATGTAGATGTTGTTGAAGCTCAGGTTTCTCCCTCTGTCTCTGCAGCTCTCTGGGCACCTCGATGGACCAGTCACCAATAATCCACACTGTGTCTATAGGAGAAATACAAAGGTGTTCAATTAATGCCTCAGACAAGACAAAATGTACAGTTAACTACATGTGACAGCTCAGGCTGTTTTTTTGTTATGAGCCACATCTGCAGGAATAATATTGAACAAGGTAGCTGCAACTCATAATAACAGATGCTAGTCTTAAACACTATTTTTTCTAATACTTAAAGTTTTTGGTGTGAAGCTGACACTGTCCACAGACTCCATGACTTTACAGGTTCTATAGGAAACAAATGTCTTATAATAAATACTAAATAATTATTTTTCAATTGTCATGTTCACCTCATCGCTGTTGACATCAGTAAATATAAAACACAGACATTCCTCTTTTTGTCAGAACAGTAACATGAACTGTATGCTTTGTAATATTGATTTCTTCTGGATGTCTCATTTATTTACAGTCTATGGATAAAACTTTGTTAATGTATTTCTCTGCTAACACTGACAAAGTCTAACTGCTCTGACAAATAACTAATAACCATAGTTGTATATTTAAAAAAGTGTAGTTTTAAGACTTTAATTAAATATTTGGGTTGAATATAATTAGTTGTAACTGTGTTGTAGAAAAGTTAAATGTTAACTTACCGTTTATAGAGTTTTCTCAGGACGAGCAGGAATAGTTGATGATAGCAGCCTAGCCGTTAGCTATGCTGTCAAGTGGACTGCTAACGTCGAGCTGAATGGGCGGAGTTAAGTCCCGCCGGTCCCGCCTTACTGCTGTCTTTAGGTTGATCCGAAGTTAGGTTGAGACTACAAATCCAATATGGATGCGGTCGTCGATTGGACTCATTTGCTGCCCATGTAACAGACGGGTCAGGGTTCGTCCAGTAATATTTACAGTCTATGGGTGTGACACAGTTTGTCAGTGTTTTGATCGAGAAAATGGAGATAAAGTTTTACGTCGGCTGTGTCAGGTTAAACTGGTGGATCGACCGGAGCGATTTGTAACCACAGTTAGCTCAGGCATGTGCACGCTAACCTGCAGGAAGGAACTGAAGACTGGTGTTAACCAATCAGCAAATGAAGAGACTCCCCTCGAGTATCTGGAGCAACATTAGGCCACATTTAAGTTTGAAAAAAAAAAAAAAAAAACATTTGCTAACCAGCTAGCTACCGTTATCTAACAGCTAACATTAGCGTTAGCCAGGAAACGGCCCTGAAGTGAATGCTAATGTTAGCTGTTAGCTAAAGATATACAGAAAATCAAAGCTGTAACATGACCCGTATTATTCTCTGGTGACAGTATTTGTGCTTGACGCAAGAATAAAATGGCCGCTCTGTGAATGTGGTGAATGAGACAGCTTAAAGGTGTTCAGTAACAAAAGAAGTTTATTCTTTCTTTTATTTGTTTAAACCAATTTACACTAAAAGTGTGTGTTCATAGTGTTCTTATGTCTTTATGTTTATGTGTATCACCTGAATCTGGAGGCTGCTGACGAGGCCGACATAATTTGTGACATGATGCCCGAGTCTTTCCAGTAATGAGGCCTGACATTGCAAAGTGGTCTGACTTGTTGCCCGTTGCACGCCATCTTGTAACACCCTGAGCGCCCCAAGCACCTCTGCACGCTTCTGCTGAAACTGGACAAACACATAAAAGCTGTCAACATGTTGCTTTGAGAGACAAAGGAGCATTTGAGGTCACAGTAGAAGTCCAGGTTACATGCAGCTCTGTGAGGCTGAACGTCAGCTAAATGCTAACGTAAGTGTGCTAAGTCCGAGGATATACCTACAATGACCCTTCAAAGTTGCTTGCAGTGAATCTTTCTGAATTTTACCTGCTGCGTTCACACCTCGACCCACCCTGACTTCATGTGTATGAGGGGGCTGGCAGGAAGAGCTCCGGGTTAAAGCAACAATCTGTAACTCCTCCTTCTCCTTCAAACAGTCGTTTTAAAGTCGGCTTTCGAGGGGTTTCTGTTCGTCGACAGTGTTAGACTCCATGTAAAATGAGTTCTTTAAAGGCGGGGTTGGTAATTTCCTCCAGATCCACTTTTTAAGATTTTGGTTGAACTTGTCTTTAGGTCCTGATAGAAATGAATAACTCATGTTCTCTGAAAAAGGAACAAAGAAAATCTGTCATCTGTATCAGTTGTAAGCCTGTAAAAACTTAAACCAATGTCTGCCACGAGGTACCAATCTGATGAACCAATCAGACGCCTCCCCATCTCCCTGCTCGCTCTCTACCCCATGCATACACTAGCCCACACTCAAAGCACGAGCGGAGGTCAGCTTCTGGACTAACGGCACTCATGCATGTAAGGGAGGGGCGTGGCTTTAGAGGGAGCACAGAGTGGAGGGGGTGTAGGCGGAGCACTGATGGAATGCTACTTTCAAAATCATGCTAGTTTTTAAAAATGACCAACCCTGCCTTTAATGTACCGTATTTTCCGCACTATAAGGCGCACTTAAAAGCCTTTAATTTTCTCAAAAAACGACAGTGCGCCTTATAATCCGGAGCGCCTTATATATGGATCAATTGGTTAATTGGTTGATACATACTGGTTGTACACGGCGCTCAGCGACACTGACTCGGATAATGACGAGAGGGAGCCGGGCATGTTGGATGCCGTACTCGCCCAACTGTTCAATTCGGACACTGAAGAAGAAGAATTCGAGGGATTCGTGGACGGGGAATGAACTGAAAAAGTGAGCTTTACGTGTTATACGTAACTGAACAATGTTGAGTTATGCACTAACGTTTGAATTAGCGGTATCAGACTGTATTTCTTCTATGTGTTTACAACTGAACAAGGCTGGGAGATATTGTGAATATGCACATTAACGTTTGAACAACGTTGAGTTATTGTGAATGCACTACGTATAAAACTACGTTTTGAGAGTTAAGAGAAACGTCAAAGAAATAATTTATTATTTGGGGAAATCGTCTTATGTACTTTTGTTTTTGTAGTTTTATACGTTACGTTTTATACGTATTTATATTTATATATTCACAATATCTCCCAGCCTTGTTCAGTTGTAAACACGTTCTATTCTATGCGCCTTATAATCCGGTGCGCCCTATATATGAAAACAGTTCTAAAATAGGCCATTCATTGAAGGTGCGCCTTATAATCCGGTGCGCCTTGTAGTGCGGAAAATACGGTAGGTGTCGTAACAACGTGATTTCACTTCCTGGATATCAGCCCACATTTGTTTTCTCACTGCTTGATGTGTTTCCCTCAGGGTGCTTTCAATTTGTATAATAAATCACTTTCAGTCTTATTTAGCTTTCATCACCGGGCAAACATTCACTCATTATAATATTTTATTTGACATGTCATTGAGTAACATACAGAATATCGACTTGTCGTTGCCAAATACACCTTTCCACAGTACAAGTGATACATGGCGTTTGTATCCTGCATGTCACCTCCAGCGGAATGTTATAACACTGACAGGATTTATGAGAAAGCCTGTCACGCTGTGTGTGTGTGTGAGTGGGTGTGTGCACATGCTTCAGTTCATGTCAGGTATTACTCACTGTTTTGTTTGCCCATTCTGCTGGTTGAACCCAGACAGGTGGTAGCTGTAGAGGAGAGGGCAATATGTGAGAACCCACGCAGTCAGCCTACATGAACAAAGTCACAATCACACATCAAACAACAACTTTGAGAATGAAAGCCCCTGAGAGACGATGCTCATGCTTACACCCCCACCAATCGAAATGTGTAGATAAAAAGATGTTTTTAAAGTGTTTAATGACACTGTCAGTGTTGCAGACAGTCTACAAAAAACATGGCTTTGTTTTGGTGTGAGCGTTACGGGTCACATCCACCGTCACACAGAAAACATCATGTTTAATATCAGAGAGCATAATATCATATCAACGTCCTTACCATGTCTTTCTTCAGCTCCTCAATCGTTTTAACCAGATTCTTCCTGGCATCGCGGTTGCACCAAAAGTCAACAGGTCTGCTCTGGACTCCAGGGAGATGGGAGGAAATCACTCCAATCAGCAGCAGCAGGAATCCTGGAGGAGCACACAGAGGACACGACTGAAGAGACGACATAGTTACAGGATTTCAGCTGTGTGCATGTGTTGCCTTAATGCCCTCTTCCTTGTTTGTCATGTATTTTTCTTGTTAAGCCTTTCTTACTGTGTCATAAATCACACCCACATGATGCGCTCTGACACATGGAATTTCTGAATCTGTATCAACTTTCCAAGTGCTGAAAAACGAGATGAACTTGTCAACAGAATGCAATTAGCCTTTGAAGTCAAAGTATGCCCCTAGTGAAGCAAGAAGAATCTCATAATGGACAAAAATTACAACTACAACCTTTCATTGATTCCATCAAATGCATGTAACTTCCAGTATGAGATACACGTGACACATTTACGCCACCAACACCAGGCCTGTACCCCTTCATATCCACTTACTGCTATAAGCCATAACCGGCCCCTGCGTGCATGGTGTCCCTCAGCTGTGGGCCGTCAACCTGCATCTGTCATCCACTCAGCTTCAGAGAAATCCACCCAGCGCGTAGATCCTCAGATCTCCTTCTGTATCCAGTAGAAGAACTACCCGTGCACAAAGCTCCGGCTCAGTTCTGAATCCTTAAGACCTTGTATAGTCTAAACTTACTTCAGCAGCAACAACAGACCGCTCTGTGAGGGGACAAGTGCTCGCTTACTGTGCAAGCTTTTGGAGCGAGCGAGCTTTGTATCTGATGTAGCCAAAGTTAATGTTTAACACTGGATTCTCAGTGCAAATAACACAAGAGGCTCCCCGTTCCCACAAACAGTACTAACCCAGATACAAACACGATACACACACAGACGTTTAAGGCCGTCCTGGGTGGCACATTTCTGAACCAGCTGCTAAACTTTATTTGTGTTGTGTCATAACAAATTCAGATCCAAAATGACAATACTACATCCACCATTAGCAGCACTAAAACTATACAACATCAGCATATCCAGTCATTCTCCTGCCAAATGAAACAGCTGTGAGCTTGAACCTGAAGTCACAGATGTGTTTGAAGCAGTCTGTCAGAACTCTGAGTGTGAGTTTGAATTGTTGAGAGATCTAATCGGCATCAAAACCATCCTAAATATCATCATCGTCACCGTCATCACTATCACTGTCATTGTAACCAACATCGTCACCATCATCATTAAGGTCGTAGGTCAGGTGTTCATAAAGAGCTGGGTCTTTAGCTTTTTCTTGCAAAGGGACTCTACAGATTAAAGGATGTTGGTAGTCTGTTCCACCACCAGGGGGCGACAAAGGAGACGAGCGCTGTTGAGAAGGCTGGATCAGACACGTGTGTGTGTGTGTGTGTGTGTGTGTGTGTGTGTGTGTGTGTGTGTGTGTGTGTGTGATTTTGTCTATACACCTGCGTCACAGATGGTTTTCAAGTGTTGTGGCTCACACGCGTGGCATTAATGAGCTCTTTGTTATCATTCAGACGTGTCTGCGTGTGAGTGTGTGCGAGTGTGTGTGTGTGTGTGTCTGTCTGTGTGTGAGTGTGTGCAGTGCATCATCTCACAGCTGTGCATCTCTGTGGGGAGAGCCATAACCATGGCAACACTAAGCTTTGAGTAGCTTTTAAAAGACTCCTCTCTCTCCCTCTCTCTTATTCTCTCAGCTGGGAGAGGATGACACGACGAGGAGGATTTTCTTCAGGTCTTCGACTCTCGTTTTTAGATCCTGTAGTCTCTTAGTTGACTTTCAGTCAGTTAAAGATGAATGAACGTTGTTTTTATTATATTTTTTGCTTGTGTGGGACATCTCTTCCCACAAACATCTTTGTCATTTTAAGGATGAAATAACAGAAAGACAGTCTGATGCTGCTTCCATACAGACGGCTGCCTTGACTTTATCTGGATATACACAGAGAGGTATTGTCTCCTTACATAAAGAACATATGATGGTAAACAGTGAGGTAAATTTAGACTTCTGTGGAGGTGTAAGAGATGTGACATTCACAGAAGAAATGGCGCTTAAAGGACTTCTTTAATTGTCGGTAATGTCAGTGAAGACTTGTTATCCGTGGGGAAGACGCAGAGAGGAGGAGCAGGAGCGTCTGCACGAGGAGGCAGGACCGTCAAAGAGGCGGGAAGACAAGGAAAAGGAATGTATGCAGCAGCTCTCACAGTGTCCAGCATGCAACCAGGGGCGTGATGTTGTCCTGATCCTGCCCTGCTCACACACCATGTGTGGTCCCTGCATTACAGCTGCAGAGGGAGCAAGGTCAGGTCAGCATCACAGTGTCAGTCAACCTGTCTGCTCCGTGCTGTGTCCCCGCTGTCAACACCCCGTGGAGCTGCCGTGCCGGTCCTGGTCATCTGCAACTTCAAGTCTGCCAAAACATCCAACCCTGAGTCCTGCATGTGTGAGCAGGGAGACTGGAAGCAGGGAGGGGGAGTCTGGAGATCCTCTGCAGTGTGTGCAGGTGAGGGATCCAAACTAATATAGCTCGGAAAATATGTGAAATATGCGAGAAATGAGTGCTGGATTACTGCTGAACGTTGCCAAAGACACATCGTGGAAACGAGTCAAAACAGGATGTAGAGAAAGAAATACTAGATCGAATTGAGATAAAAAGACAGTGACAGTAGGCTTTACAACTTATTTGCTAAATGCTCGTACTTTGCATCGAAAAATACAGATCCATCTTAACTATGCAACACAAGAGTACCTTAATGGTGTAATTATGCACTAAAATATTCCAATCAGGGTCAGAGCTTCACCCTAACCCTCACATTACACTTTAATATGTTCATACATTTTCTTAAAACTACATTATTAAGTGGTCTAACCTGCAGGGACCCCTCTTTCGGAGAGCGCTCTACCCCTCATCCATCACCATACACATCAACACATCGACACGCGCTGCACGCAACACTCGTGCAAAAAAATACAGAACTGCAACGTTCAGTGTTTGACATCAAACTGAAAAACTAACAAAACATCTTTTACAGAAGAAGCACTGCAACATGCAACTTCTACATTTAATAAGTGACAGCATTCATGGCTTTTAACAGATCGGATATTTCTGTTACATTTAGATAATTAGTAAGGCACCCAAACGGAAACCCTAATTAACAAACCAAAACTGAAACAACGTTAAGACTACAAAACAGGTCAACCATATATCACTCTACTTAATCATACAAGGTGTGAGCAAACATACTGAACACATTTCTTCTTCTGTGGTTTTGTGAGAGTAAGTTGGCACCTTGCATTAACCGAACACAACAGAGAAAGGTGTTCATATTTAAAGTAGGTTAGGCCAGACCAAATGAAACACGGAGGGGGGTGGGGTGGGCAGAACGGACTCCAAGTGAAACTACATTCAAACCCAAACCCCCCTCTGGCTTCTGAGCACGTGGTCTCTTCCAATGAGCTAGCTCCAGCAGAATAAAGGTGTTCACAGACCCTGGCCACACCTTTTGCTCAACCAGGAAATGTCCTCCTCCTCCAGCCAGCCAGATAACTAAGACACAAAGAAATCACTAAGCACTGGATCATCATGTCCCAGTTTAAAAAGAAACAATAGATGGAACTAAATGTGGAAGTTGTTTGTGTGCTTTGACTTTAATCTGATGTGAACCAGTGAAGGTCTGTGATGGGGAAGTTACCTTCTGTGACTGAGGCCTCTCAGTGGTCTGGGTACCTGCTTGGATTCTTCTTCTTCATCCCTCTTTGTTTTTCGGCAAACAACTTACAGGTGCATACCGCCACCTACTGTATAGGAGTGTGTAGCGTCATGTAATTTACTTTTACTTTGAAATTCTGCCTGTTAACCTTGTGTCTTATAAGAATGAAAAAAAAGAGTCCTCCTCCTGACGGCTCGTATCCCCTCTCCTTCTCTCTCTTCTCCCCGCTTTCCTCCCAGATTTCACTCATGCCCTGCAGCTCTGATTTTCTCTCACCGCCTCTCAGTGGCGGTTCTGGACCACTTTTACTGAGGGGGCCAAACTGGGGCCAGTTGTTTTGTCAGAGTGGAACATTAAACCCGAGGAAAAACAGACAAAGATGATTGCTTTAAAATATATATATATTTTATGATGATGATTTATATTTGTTTCAGGAACAGTGTTTAATACTAGATTGTGAGTCTGGTTGTTGAGTCAAATACTGTGTAGGTGTTCAGTGGCCCTGTCGCTGGGTCATCTACACACCACCCCTCTGCACACTGTGATGAAGCTCTATAAGTCAACCTTCACTGATAGTGTTCAGTGACTGTGTGCATATCCGTCCTGACCTCCTCCTCCACCTGCTGCTTGGATTCACCTCTTCCTCTGTTGAGATTTCAATCTCGTCTCTGTCGTTATTTCTAGGTGGACGCACGCTGCCATGATGTCTGTGACGTGACAGAACAGAGCGGTGTGCACGGTGAGTGTGAGCATTCATAGATCCAGATCCTGTTTCTATATGAACTTTACTGGACTGGATTTAACAGACGCCATCACTCCTGTCCTCGCCCCCCTCCTCTTGCTCCCTTTTAAGATTTTACTGATCACTTTTATAGTTCGTCTTGAGCACCCTGAATGACATATCAGAAATGTTGACCCCCTGTGAACCACCTCAGGCAGCGCCCTCCTGGTCGCTCCAAAACCGAGGGTCAGATTTAATGGAGCTTTTCAATCAGGGCCCCTCGACTCTGGATCGACCTCAGACGAGCAGATTCAGACGATCAGGGCGAACAACATGGAGAGAAAAAAGACAGAGAGAGGAAGTGAGATGGTACGAGAAGAACTTCAAAATAAAACAGGAAACAGTGAAAAGTAATCTCAGGACAAATTAACAGGAAACAGAGAAACACAAGGATACAAATAACAAAATAAAACAGGAACTAAGCGACAACAACAACAACAAGGAACAAAACAAGTAAACAAGGGTACATAATGACAATCCCTTCAGTTATTCATTTTTAATTCTTCTTCTGATGTTTAACTCATCTGTCCTCTGCTGATTTTATATTTTTATTAACCATCAACCTTTTATTTTTCCTCTATCTTCAGTTTGTGTTTCCTGTGATGTTGTCGTCTCATCAGCTGTATTTTATTGTCTTCAGTCGTAGGGTTTTGTAGCTTTAACTTCCTGTTGCCTCTCTTCTTATTACTGTTTATTTGTATTCATATTATTTCTGCAGACGTCTCTTGTCTTGGTGGTTATTCTGGCGTCGTCAGGACTTCCTGCCTTTGCTTCGTCCGTCAAAGCACTTTGTAAACATTAGTTTTTAATGAAGTGATTCTCATGATGTGTGCACTCTCTAGAGCCAGGCTCCAGTTCCACTGAACCACCAGAGGATGGCGCTGTAGACCTGCGAGAGGAGGAGATGGAGCAGTCAGTCTATGGTCAGGAGTCATTCTTCATGCTCACTCTGAACATGTTTAATCAAAGTTCTTCATGTAATGGTCGCTGGGGGTCAAAGTTCACAGAGTTCTTTCTGGTCCGTGTTAGGACTTTGTTTTTCTCTGGACCCTTCGACTGCACCTCCCTCCCTCCATCTTTCCAACTCCTCGCTCACTGTTGCCTACAAAGAGGACAGCCCTCCTGGTCCACCTCGAGACCCAATGGTCAGGAGATCCCTCTCCTTAGACCCCCCTGGGATCCTTGTCCCCCTGGTCTGTGCGGATGTGGTGATCAGACGAGGACAGTATTACTGGGAGGTGGACGTCTGTAACAGCTCCGTCTACAGGATCGGTAAGATCTGTGATAAGTTTGTTTGTATCCTCCAGACTGTTAGTCAGCAGGACTGTGCTGGTTTCACGAGACCACATCACCAGACTCTCCGGGTCACAGTGCCACGGTGCGGTAACACCATAGACCTCTTTGTGAAGTTACCAGAACAATTTGCTCCGATGGAAACACAAAGCGGCCCCTCTGTGAAAATCAAGATAAATGTGTTTTTAAAAGCATCTGTGATCAAGGGGAGTCACACCGAAGAACTTTGTTCTCTGTCAGTTTTAATTCTAAAGAAAATGTCACCATGACATGAAATAAAATACAGTTTGAATTGATTATTAAAGGACTAAATGTGCCTGGCAAACATTTCTACTAGGGCTGACCATCGATTCAATTTTTAATCGCGATAAATCAGAAAAGTTTAAAATCCCATAATTTCGCATTTTAAAAAATCCTGCACACCCAAGAACACGAGTAGATAAAAAAAAAGCAAACAAGATCCTCACACCAAGAATCTCCCGTTGGAAGGATTTATCGATAAGTGACGTTACACATTTCAAAATAAAACTTTTCAGGCTTTTGTTTTGAATGTTTGTTCTGTCTTAAGCTGAGAGTTCTTTACTTCCTGTGTGCTTTTATTTTGGTTAGGACATGAAGTTAAGCACAGAAAGAGGGAGTGGTTAGGGATCCCAAAGTGAGGTCAAACAGCTCAAAGGAACGGTAACAAAGGTCAATGTGTGATGTCATAAGGTGGATATGACTTTGGACATGTCAGCTGAGCTGTCTGAGAGTTTGTTAAAGTGAAATGAGACATTCAAAGATGCAGCAGTGTCCTTCTTTTACATCACTGAGACTACAGGGAGACACTGAGGACGACTATCTACGGTGACCCTGAAGGGACAAAATAACACAAGGTTAAAATCAAAATACACAAAAGCACTAACATAAAGGCAGAAAACTGTCGTACTGTTGGCCTCGGAGGCTTAGTCCACCATCTTTGATTTGTGCAGCGTCTTTTTTTTGTCTTGCCTCCTGAGACGCTCCTGTCCGACAGGGAAAACTTTCAGGAGTGTTTGTGTAAAAATATCTTTCCTGTGTCTTTGGACTCATCGATGGTGATATGTCTTTAAATCCTTACACGAGCTGTTCCTGCCTCTCTCAGGTGTGAGCGCAGTGGACGCCTCTTGCGGCTGGTGGCTGGACAGACATGGCCCTTCTTTTTATGCCGTGTACGATGGGAGCCTGGAGCCGCTCTGCACAGTCCCGCCCCAGATCAAAACCCTCGGGGTCTTCCTCAACATTGGTGGGGGAGTCCTGAGCTTCCACAACTCTCTGACTCAGGAGCATCTAGCCACGCTTTCTACACGCTTCCACCGAGCTGGAGTGCGCCCTGCTCTGGGCCTACGTCAGGGTCGACTGAGGGTGCGCTGTGGCCTCCCCCCTCCTGCTCATGTGTTCCTCAGTAAGGACTCCACCTACAGGGGGCCTCGTGGAGCTGGTGGAGGTAGGTGGCAAAGGGAGCTTCCCTTCCACTCAGTCAGGAAAGTGATACAGAAGTTTGAGGAGCTGGCCGTGTCGGACTCAGACTCTGGTCTGGTATCCAGTTTTGGATCGTCCTGCTCCACCTTGGTTTCCCTTCCAGATCTGGGGATTCCTGGGATGTTCCCCTCTGGGCCAGCAGGACAGGAAACTGCAGCTGAATAATAACAGCTTCTGAAACTCTTCAATGGGAGCAACAAACACACCCACTGCTCCTGTGAGGGGTTTGATCTCAGGCCATCATTTCAAAGGCTAATTTTTCATCTTCAAGGACTTTTGGCTGCCTGTTTCCACTCTCTGCGTGACCCCAGACCTGCAATTGACTCTCTCCCCAGGACACAGGCCTTTCTCCCGTCCAAACAACCCCCACTGGTTTGGGATTGGGCCCGAAAGAGTCCTCTATAATGTGAAGTGTGAGGAAAGGGTGGGCTTTGAGCAGCATGACGCCTTCATTTGCCTCTGTTTGACGGTTGTCCGACAGTAGGGGTTCTTACAGTGTGTGTGTGTGTGTGTGTGTGTGTGTGTGTGTGTGTGTGTGTGTGTGTGTGTGTGTGTGTGTGTGTGTGTGAGTGTGGGTGTGTGTGTGTGTGGGTGTGTGTGTGTGCGTGTGTGTGTGTGTGTGTGTGTGTGTGTGTGTGTGTGTGTGAAGCAGCTGGGTGTGAGAAGACGAGGTGTGAGTACAGTGACACCAGTAGTGTTGACGCAGAGAGGACAGGTGGTAACGTACGTTTATCCCACGGCATGCCCTCGATGGGACAGTATGGACCTCTCCTGACCCTTTGAAAACCGCAGGACGCCCGAACACTTCAAAAGGGTCGACGGAGAGCGGGAGAACAGAGAAAAACAGCACGCATGAATTAAAGACAGCAGGTGATGACCTGGTAAAGGAAAAAAAAAAAAAGAGCCGGGAGAGGGTTTCCTAACAGCTTTCCTGAATAGATCAACCGGCAGAGACTCTGAGAGCTCTGACCGTGTCTGCAGGAGCTCGCTCTTTACTTTACAAATACTGAGATCACAGTTCAGTAAAACGTGCTGCATCAGTCGTCTTTGCACATTTTAAGTTGGATAAAAATGAGTTTTGTTCCCTTTTCTTAAAACAGTATGCGCACACTAAAAGACTTTGAGGAGTCTATAAAAACATTTTAAAGATTCATGCCTGGTGCCCACAAACACCTGAAGACATATTCAATCCTAAATTAAATACTATAAACACACAGCTGTCTGTGTGTGTGTAGTGGTTTAAACATAGCTTGAATGATCATACTTCAAACTTGAACTGTTTCACAGCCAGTAAGCGCCCCGCTTACACCATGTCCCAACAACAAGTGATGTTCAGACCATAAGCTCTATAAAACATACACGCAGTCACCCATTGGTTTCTGAGGAGCCTTTTTGAAGCCTAGCTATGGAGGTCGCCATGTTGTAAATGCTGACTCAACCTAACTTTAGATCGATCCAGAAAACGCTAAGGTGGGCCTTAAAACTCCCTGCAAACGGCCATAACAGCCACGTCCATAATTATGCAAATCTATTAATTACTCTGTTAGCCTTATGAGCTAACAGTAGCCCTATTCAGACCATCGTTTCAAGCCGCAATATTTGCGTCAAGTCTTCTACCTGAATCCTGCTGAGGCGTAATCGGGGAACGAAGTGACTTCCCCTCTGTACCATCTTCAGAGGTAGTAACAGAGCCGAGATGGTGCTAGCTGAACTAGCAGGGGATAATAGCGCTGTGTGTTTGCGTGCATGTCTGACTGTGCCGTGCTTCAGCAACGCCGTGAATTCACAGACTGGGCTGCCAATATTAGCTGTCGATGCCGGCGATGCCAGGTAGATGCGTGACATGAAGGTTAAAAAGTGCTCTGAGTGTTCTTAACAAGCAAAAGTCCATTTTCCGTTTTCTTCACCCGACTAAAGCTCTGTATTACGTTAGCACATCCTGATAATAGATCTTGCCTGTTTGCTGAAGTAGTGGTTGTTGATAACCTTCATGATGTTGCACTTTACTATTATTTAATAACTTAAAAACTCCTGCAAATGCTCGAGATGTTTGATTCGATCAGAACTTCAAGACAAGAGAAAGAACGCCTGCTGAAAACAACAGAAGCGTGTTAGAAGTGCATAAAGTCTGCAGGACTCGGGTGGGTCTTTGGGATATTGACAAACTGTCTCTCTTATGTTGAGCTCACATTGGACTTCCTCTGGTGTCTCTTCTTCGTGAACCTTTAGGTCCACACAGCTTTGGGTTTGCACTCAACAACTACAGCTACTGGGACCAGGAACGCTTTATTCACCATTTATTCTAGGCCCTGCCGATGTTCATTCTGGCGCTGTTACTACTTAACTTACAATCAAGTAGCTATTGAAACGTTACCTCCTGTGAAACCTCCTATTATCCCGTCCTGTCATCCTGTTTTTTCCAATTACTGTTTGGGTTTTCTAGAAGGTGCAATCTCCGAGTATTTAGTCAGACCACCCAAAATCATTGTAATACGAGAAAACACAACAACTAGCATTTAAGACAAGCATCAATCAGAAGTCTGCAACGAGACATTCGAGGACGCGAGTCAGTGGCGTTAGTCCAGTTTTCCATTTGGCATCCTTCAGTTCATGCATGAGATGAGTTAGAGCCGGTAATCAGCAATGAGTCAAAGACGGGCTTGTTAGACTGTCGCCTCTCAGACCACTCATCAGGATGACTGTGTGCTGATGTTTAATGGTCGAGGTATTTACCAGGAGAGTTCAAAAAAATGTGAATACCGCGACCGCTTCTGGCGCATGCAGATCTATTACGACTCAAAGTGTGTGGAAGCAATTTGACTCTTGTAAACAAAAATGAGAGAGGCGGGATGCAGATTTCAAAGGGCCGACAAGAGAGAGGGTGGGGGGGGGAGAGAGAGGGGGAGAAAGAGGGGGAGAGAGGGGAGATGGAGAGAGAGAGGGGAGAGGGGGAGAGAGAGGGAGAGAGAGAGGGGGAGAGAGAGAGATGGAGAGAGAGAGAGAGAGAGAGAGATGGCGAGAGAGAGAGATGGAGAGAGAGAGGGGGTAGAGAGAGAGAGATAGAGGCGTAGAGAGAGGGGGAGAGAGAGGGGGGGGTGTTTGCCAGGAAGGATGAACTTGAACTACTTGAAACGCGTTGTTGTGCCATGTGTGTATTTTTGGCAGCTTCTGCAGTACAGCGAGGTGGAGAGGGGGGCTGTAGACCTAATGAGCATATTTACTGCAGTACAATACTTACGTACATTTGTAAGTATTCTTGTTGAATGTTTCTGTTGTCTTCTGATCCTTTTGATGTCTTAAGTAAATTACTTTGAATATGTTTGCTGTTAAAATGCGCCATAAAACTTTCTGGCTTCTCTGACAACAATGCAGCAGCCAGTATGTCCCCTTCTAACTTTAGATTCTGGTCCTGAATCCTCTGGATTTTTTGGAGCAGAGAAGGTAGGCGGTTTTAAGGCACACGGTCGTTTCGGATGCTCCTCGGTTTGCCAGATATGAGACCAGTTATCAGGTCAAACCAACAGGTGCGATGGAAGCGGGTAAGAGAAGTGGTTCAGATAGAAGTGATTGTACCCGACCTAAAAAGCCTCTGCATGTTTCCAGAGGGGCCCTTACAAGATGCCGCCCCTGGGTAATGTTGCTGTGTTAATTTGGCCCGGTTACACGTGACTGTTTACAGACCAAAGGATTAGAAAAGAGACAAGCTGTAGACTTCATGACCGCAAGCATCACCAACATTGACTGAAACTGAAAGACAGTTCCTCACAGGAGCTTTAAAATACAGGATTTCCTTATTTCTTAAACCCTGCTGCCTTTCTGCTCCGAAGCTGATCAGAACACATGTTGCTAATTTACTGTCAAATGAAGCTTTAAGGTCTTCTCCCCGAGGTGTCAAGATAAAGCGAGCCCCGCCCCCAACAACAACCAAACTACCCGGTACATGTGTAGGTCTCTTCAACTCGCTAATCGCCTCATTTACTCTCTCCATCACAGACTCTAATTCTGAAATAGAGTCGATGTGAGAAGTAAAAAGACAGTTTCGCCTGTGTCTGCAAATGGATCCCGTTTGTATGAATGAATAAACATCAACTCTGCAAGACTTCGACCATTTGCATATTGGCCGAGGAGAGGCCCATCGACCCCTTTCCGTTGCCGGCAGCAGCAGCACAAAAATTAGCCTTACAACTGAGCGGGCCTCTCTTATTACCATCATTATCAGCATCTGCATAACAGTGGCTGTAAAAGCATCATACGCCTCCTGCTTTGTGTCTCCATCAGCGTTTACGGCGCGCTGCGAGGGACATCCTGCGTTAACATTCAACGCTGCAGTTATGGATGAAGATCGACGCTCCTGCAGAGGGATGCGCGTCAGAGCATTTCTCTGTATCTGATTATTTATGGATTCAAAGATCTATTCCCACCGTCTGTAAACGAGTTGCCTGCTTCTTCAGAAGAAGAACGTCTATGCCGGAATAAGTCAGACATGCGCAAACAGGCCTTTAAGTTTGGAATGTAAAATGCAGAATTAGAACCACATCCTGAATCACAGTTTAACTAAACACGAGTCAGAAATAAGAGGGTGCATTTCCAGCAAGGAGAAAGGGAACGTCACAAACTGTACTCCCGATAAGGAGCCATTCTTCTGTGCGTCATGCGCAGAAGCCTTCTTGGTGCCAAACATCCTGAGAGGATACAATCATTACAGGAAATTTACTCTTTCAGTAAAAAGCTTCAAATAAACTGATCTTGTGATTTAAAACAAATCACACGGCTATTTAAGTTTGATGGTAAAAGCAGAGGGAGTACAACATGCCATGCTTGTTAGTGCAGCAAGCGTGCACGTGATGAGGAACAGGTGGTGTGTGTTTGTGTTTGTGTTTGTGTGTGCGTGTGTGTGCGCGCGCGCGCGCGTTTGTGTGGCTGTTAGTGCACAAGAGAGACTGCGTGAGGGGGGAGGGGGGGAGCGAGAGAGAGAGAGCGAGAGAGAGAGAGAGAGAGAGAGAGAGAGAGAGAAGCACATCTGCCAGGCGCTATCATAGCTCACTGGCTGAATATTCACACCTCCCATACCGTCCAGCAAACAGGATGCGGTCCCCTCCTCAGTGAGTGTTCGCTGCGTAATCAGACAGATTAAGAGGGGGGATGAGGAGTGTGTGGGGCGGGGGATGGGGCAAGGGGTATCGTTAAACAACCCCTCATTTATGACCTGCCAGCCTGAGCGTCTGACAAACAAAAGCAAATACACAAGGCGCAGAAAGAAAGTGAAGTGTCCATCCAGCTGCACCATCAGGGACGATTTACAGCCGATACTCTACCCTCTGTCTCTTCTCTCTCTCTCTCTCTCTCTCTCACACACACACACACACACACACACACACACACACACACACACACACACACACTTGATAATAGTGACGTTTAATCTTTAATGCCAGTATTTCTTGTCCTTTGCTTTTTTTCACTCCTTCCCGGAATCTTTAAGAAGGAAGAACTCTGTCTCTGATCGCGTGTCACTTCGTGCTTCTGCTGCTCAGTCATGTCGTGCAGCTAACGACTGTTTGGTCTGCAATGCTTCTCTGCATATTGGAGATGAAATATGACGAGTCTCCTCCTCGTCTTATTTCCAAACATGTCTCCATGGAAATGGATCGAGTTAAAGATGAATGCATTGTTATGATAAATAAAAAGCAAGCTGCTGGAGGCTATCTGGCGAACTGGAAGTCCTCGTGCACGTTAATGAAGTGCAGAGATGGATATGGGACCAAATCATTCATGTTTACGGTTCTAACAGCTGCAGACTCCACCGCCGTTACAGAACAGCCGAACTCAAATATTGTGTTCATATTTTATCAGTGTGCTGCTGTAATTCACACTGCATTTGGGAAATCGGCTAATTGTAAGTTGTCTGCTCACCCGAAGAAACAAAACGGCCCCGAGTCTCTACGTGAATCGTTTATTTCCAACTATTAAGGAACGCTCTTGAATTCGGCATTCATCCAACATTAAGAGTTGAATTGTAGATCCGGGTCTCATGTCTCTCCAGTCTCATAAAAAATAATACACTTGGAGAACTTTCCGAGTCCTAACTATAAAACAAACCCATAAAAAAAATTGGTTTATGCTTTTTGAATATCTGCCTGATGAGCAGGAAGGAGCTGGAGTCCTCATTTATTGTTTTTATTAATATACTTTTCTTGGTGAAAGAGGGTTTGGCGCTCGTGCAAACAGTCCGGTTTTGTAAACATGTGCTGGACGCCTCCAATACACAAACTTGCTCCCACAGGGGCAATAAGGGTCCGTGGGTTTTGTTAGCTCCAAAAGACAATTTAGCATCCAGTCTGCCTAATGGATGACCGTGTGCAAGAAGAAGAAAAGTGTCGCTTATCACCCGATGATGAAGTGTAAACAGGCCATCATCGACTCCTATTGCAGCTGGGGGGAGAGGGGGGGCGTGAATCCCAACGCCCGGGTGGAAGTGGCTCCCACAGGTCACATAATGTGACACATGCATAAAAATAACACCTTGCGCTCGCACCTTGGTCTGCACTTCTGGCACAAAACCACAAGATTTGGCACCTTTTTTTGCGACGTTTTAGTGGCTCGACACAAAGTTTAAGGTATCTGGATGTGGACTCAGGAGACCCTTGAGGAATTAAAATGACATTTTAGACAAGTATGAAAGTGCTGCTACCTCTCAGTGGACCTCTAGTTGGGAAACAAAAAGAGAATGTGGAGCGTGATGCTTTGGGGAAATATTTAGAGCATGAGCACAACATGAAATTTAAAAAATATGGACAGAGTTCTGCAGGACAAAACTCACACAGCTGGCAACATTATTCTAATTATTTCATGAAATCAATCACTCCTTTGTTGCAAACATCTCAGCCATATAGTCCGGCTGCCCTGTGATAAACTGTGAAATAAATCATCCATGAGCACCACTACAGTCATGTAAACTTGAGCCGCACAGCGTTTGTTCTAGACCCCTAGAGACCCTCCCAGAGGAGCTGCTGCTGCACTGTTGCTCAATCCGCTCTGGTTTGGCTTGATGGGAACTTTTCCCAGATCCAAATAGGCTTTTGTAAACTTCACTTGTTGTTGATGTTGTGAAGCTACACACTGGCCACAGAAGGTGAAAGAGATGTTGGCACCTGAATCCTGGTTGTTTTGGTCCAGATAGACTTTTGAGGGAGCCAAAGGAAACGGTTTGAGGGTCCAGGAGAGAGGACTGAGGTGAGCAGAGGGCCAGGAGGACAAACTGAAACGGGTCTGGGTCGAGGTATTCCAACTATTTTTATTTGTTTCTGTTAAGTCACTCAGGTCTCAGCCCTCAAACACAGTTGGAAAAATAGACGGTGCAGCCAGACACACACACACACACACACACACACACACACACACACACACACACACACACACACACATTCCTTACTGTACATGATGTGGAGATTCACACACCGGTGCTTTTCGACCTCAGCTGAATACAAAGAGAGATGCTCTACATTCAGAGTTGATCCTGTATGAACTGCAGGTTTCATCACTTCTGCAGAGCTTTAAAAATCACTGCACACAAATCATAAATATCTGGATAACATGTGACCAACAAACAAACAAACAGATGAATGAACAACAACAACAAACCTAAATACTTAGAGAATAGAATAAAGACTGTTGCATACATCTCAGAGCGTTAGTCGGTATCGCTGCTTTAACTGCCTTAGACGAAAATTTTTCGGGAGAAATATTTTCATGCAGCGGGGAAGCCAAAACCAATTCGTCACTTACATCACTAATCATATACCAAAAGAATCCATTCCATCAGAAGGCCAGGCAGTTTTTTTTTTATAGTCGGAGCGCCTTTCAGACGCCAGGAGAGTCAAAGAGCTTCACACAGACACAACAGGCATTTCAAACATTTCATACAGATGATAACAAAATCATACAAAGTTCTTAGAAGGCGATACAGTGAGAGGTAAAAACAAAAAGTCTGCAAGTGAAGAAAAGCAGGTAGCATGTCTCTATGGACTTCTTTTCTCTTCTGACTACTCAAAGCACTTTCACACCACAGGTCACACCTACACATTCACACACTGATGGTAGAGGCTGCTGGGTAAAGAGTCCATCAGTATTAACTCATCCATTCATACACATTCATACACTGCTGATGAAGCAGCGGGAGCAACTTGGGGTTAAGTGTCTTGCCCTAGGACACATCAGGCATGTGTCTGCTGGAGCTGGGGATCAAACCCCCGACCTTCCGGTTGAGAGCAGACTGGTCCGACTCTACCACTGGACCACAGCCGCCTTTACTCAAAAGCCACATTGAACAGAAATGTTTTGAGGCGGTGACCTCTGGGACACTTTAACCACCTGAACTAACAGTAACCTCAGGTTTAAAGTGAAAAGCTGCAGAAGGTAAACCAGAGCTCCCACTCTTAAACTGCACCTTTAACACTGTTTGTATTGTCATATTGTATTGAAGATGTGTCCTCATAAAGTGTTATAGGGTTTTATTTGTTTACTTTATTTGGGAGTTAGAAGTTACCTCCAAACTCTGCGCGTGTGCAGCTCATCAGTTTCATGCTCTGTTAAAAACTGTGTGAAAATAACTTTAAGTTACATTTATAATTACATGACATGTTTAAAGTCAAATCAAATAAAACCTTAAAACAGGCAGAAATCAAAAGTCATCACAGCTGATTTAAATATCAAACTCTCAGCTCTGCTCTCTCCTTAGAAGTCTTTGGATGGAAACAGTGTAATTCGAAGTTTTGGTTGTAAATGAATCAGACGCTGCCTCATTAACATATCTTAAGCGTTAGTGAATTGATAGGGGCGTCGATTTCCCTTTTGCACCATCACCCACCACTCAACCCCCACCCACCCGATCATCCATCTCCCTCCTCCCGGCCGGTGGCTGCCTCAAGCTGTCAGGGAAGCGGGCTATAAAACAGAAAGGGACGGGACTGAGAGGAGGGAGGCTGCTGGTACTGAGGAAACACAAACGGAACAGCTGGCTCTGTGTCTGGAGGATTTTTAAACACAGGGGACTTTCCAGCCAATGACAGCGGACTCTGGGATTTACGGAGGAAACTTTTGGACTTGAGTTGTCGCTTCAAGTCGACGCTGGGTGACTGAAGTCCGCGGAATTGGAGCTTTGAGGGAGAACATTTTGCGGAGAGTTTGAACAGAGAGAGAGAGAGAGAGAGAGGGAGGTTTTGGGATGCTGGTTCCCCGCGCGCTCCGCTCCTTGCTGTGCGTCCTGAGCTGCGCGTGGCTGCACTCCGGAGCGGCCTCGCGGCTCAAGTCTCCCGCGCTGCCCATCCAGTCCGAGAGAGAGCCGCTGCCCTCCAAAGGCCTGGCAGGTAAGCAAAGCTAAACTTTGTTTCATCATGTTGTAATAAACGTACAGTCCTGTGTGAAGGAGACAACAAAGCTCAATAGCAAAGCTCGGTTAAAAAATGTCTCATTTGTCTTTTACGTGTTTTTAACCATCAGACATGTGTTTGTAAAGTAAAAAAATAATGTCCATAGAATGAAAAGGGGCCTTTAATCTATTCGCCTAACATTTGGACCTTTAAAACATTAAACCTAGCCAGCCACTCTTTCCACATCACACTGTTTGAGCTAACACCCGCCGAGAGGGGGCAGCAGCGAGCGTCAATTAAATAACACTTTTAACAGTCCTGTTTCTTTAGATGAGGGCTTTAATTTGATACCAGCATCAAGCCGAATCAAAAACTATACATAATTATTGGTGCTTGTAGTGTAAGTGTGAGGTGTGTTTATTTTAGCTGGAAAAAAAGAGACATTTAAACAATTTAATAGATTCTCATAAGCATTTTGGTGGGTTGCACTGAGTGCGCTTTTTAGGGGGGGGGCATGTTTAGCCACCTGTGTCTTATCTCGCGATATGATATCAACTCCGAACTTGTATCACGTTGTGTGAATTAACAGAACTGTTGTTAACACAGTGAGATCAGATCCCCATGTTTCACCCCTGGACTGCAGGGTTTCACCTCTCAGTGCTCGTCATGCACTGAGCCTGCCTGGTCTGCTGCTTCATGTGTAAACTAGCTGCAAACATGTGAGTCATCATAACCGCAGTGATGCCTTTTCATTCATGTGTGAAAGCCCCGAAGTACAAAGCTCACTGCGGTTTTTACAAGGTAACCACTCCACAGTTCAAAACTGTGGGAACTCCACGTTAACCACGGGCTGCAACAACGTGCAATAATGTGCTGGGGAAAAAAACTGTAATCAATCGACTTTCCATTACAAGCATTGGCTCCTCTGCGGTGATTTATTTCTGCCGAGACTTGAGCTGCAGGCCAGGCTCCCAGTTTGGCTCCCCGAAGCCGGACTGGACTCTTTAAGGAGAGCAGTCACTTTAATGAAAGAGTAATGTGAACCAGGCTGGTAGCAGCGCGCGAGGAGTTGGCGAGGGGTGACATCACGTTTAGTGTGTGTGTGTGTGTGTGTGTGTGTGTGTGTGTGTGTGTGTGTGCGCGTGCGCGTGCGCGCGTGGTGCAGACCAGGGCTCTCACCACACACACACCACTAAGCATAAATCACTGTAATACCCTGCAGTAACACAGCGTGACTAACGCTCAGTTATCATTGTAGTGCAGTAATAATATCCATAAACTGTTTAAATACACCAAGCAGTCCCTGTGTATCACACAGTGAGGTTATAGTGAATATAATGTCACTCCACGTCAGCGTTAGTATTTGATTTCAGGTCCACTCTGGGTCAGAGTCTGAATAAGGCGTTCAGTTTCTACACCGTCATGCTAAACTTCTTTCAAATCCACATTATGAAAATGTTTTGGATGCTCCATTTAGCTTTCCCTCAACGGTATTCTGTCGCAAAGGTTCCCAACCTGGGGTCCCAGCCCCAATCTAGGCAGCGCCTGAGAACTCTGGGGGAGGCTCCAGTCTCTGCCTGCTCTGAGGTTGTCAAAATTAGATTTGCACGGGCTAAAACATTAAAGGGAAATAAAGGTATTTTGGCTTTTTAAGAAGGGCTTGACCTACATTTTATTTCTGGGACTCTCCGTCTGTCTTTCTCTGGAAAATGGAAAACGTCTCCCTTGTCTGCGCGAGGATGGTTTAGACGAGACAGGAAGTGAGCTGGACTTCCAAAACTCACCCTCTCAGTTTCTGTTGCGACATGCCCGGGCGGCGAGCGATGTAGGATTGATTGTAGTTCGTCGCCCTGGATCTCAGACACTTCATCGTTAAAGCTTCAAAATCTCTCTTCATGAACATCGAGCTTGTTAATCTTTAGAGTCTGACTCTCCCTTTAATGTCGACCCAATCAAAGAGATGGACCATGTGTAAATAATCGTAGGGTTTCATTTCTCATCAAGACTTTCACCGGGTTGTTAAGAGCCAATGAGTACAAAATGTTTGACCCCGGGGGAAGGGGGCGGGCAGGCATGTATAATAATCAGCTGTGTTTGTGTTACAGGATGCTCATTCGGAGGACGCTTCTACTCTCTGGAGGACACATGGCACCCAGACCTGGGAGAGCCGTTTGGTGTCATGCACTGTGTCCAGTGTCTCTGCGAGCCCGTAAGTCTGCTCGCCGTGTGGCGTCTCTGTGGGAGCGGGAAAAGAAACCATCAGTTTTTAAAAGTCTGAGCTCAAAGTGATCCTGGTGGAGAGAGGTCAAATAGGTCAAAGAGATGCAGCGACACTCTGCATTATTATTAACTTGAATAAAGTTAATAAAGTAGATCTTTGACCTCTTCAAGCCTCTCGCTCGCCATGCAGCGTGGTAGTTGTGTCAGGAAACTCGACTTCTCCAGGAATAATTCAGAGGACTCCTTCTTCACTCCTGCAGGGGAAAGTTTCTGCAGCACACGAGTCATTTAATGTAGTCACGGAGTGCGAGGGTATTTAGGTTTTATCTAATCGTTACCTGGACTGTTTGACTCTGAGGAAGACACAGTGCTTCCAAATGTCCGTCCTCTGCACCTTAATTATTAATGCCGTAAGTGATTTGTGTGCTTCAGAACTTTCTTTGGATCTTTCCTGCGGGACGGAGTCCTTTGAATTATTTCTGACGTCTTCAGTCGACCGAGCACCGACCTGTGGAGGAGCTGGAACTCAACAGTTTCCTTTTTCTTCTGTGTTTATAGATTTAAGCCGACGACAGAATACAGCTTAACTTTATCGAGATCCAAAAAAAATTCACCCAATTAACAGATGAAAATGAAGATTGAATACAAGACTAGATTCATAAACACTGATCATATCCCTCTCTGCGCCTCGGTGCATCTCTCTCTGCATGTGTCGCTCTTCTTCTCTGCAGCTTAGTTTTGACATTCCTCCTCCTCCTGGTGGATTTGTCATCCATGGTGACGCTTCTTGACCGAGTGTGTTTTTTTGCAATGAGATTTTGACCGGTGACTGATTTTCCTTTTCCTCTTGTTCGTCTCTGACAGCAAAAGACCCGCCGCAGCAAAGTGTTTGGAAAAGTAAACTGTAAGAACATCAAGCAGGACTGTCCAGACCTGGACTGTGATGATCCCGTCCTGCTGCCCGGGCACTGCTGTAAAACCTGCCCCAAAGGTAACCGCCTGATGTCATGATGACGACCTGCAGCTCAGGGACTGCCTTCTATTTCTAAACCCAAATGTGTGGAAACGTCTCAGCTGTTCTAGTCATTTGTCGCAGGAGCAGCTCTGGTTTTGTTATTTATTCCTCACTCTCTCTCTTATCCCCCCCCCCCCCCCCCTCCCGTGGGTCAGCTAGTTAGTGACGTGAACAGCTGTTAGATGCAATGAGCGAGTCCACTCAGCCGCGTCAAATTCGACATTTTCTGTAACCAGCAACAACTGGAAGTAGCACCCATCCACTCTCCTCGTTCACACATTACCACTTCACGCCGTGAACACAACGCCACCTCCACTGCACACGCTCACACATCCACAGGGTGCGCCTTTGTGCCGCGTCTTACTCAGCACATGTGTCTTTTTCTATCCTGTGTGCCTGGTAATGGAAAGTCAAGGTAAAAGACAACACTGTGACGGGCGTGTGTGTGTGTGCAAGTTGTGTGTGTGCGTGAGTGTGTGTGTGTTGTGGTTAGGTTTTCAGGAAAAGGTTGAGTGTGTTTGTCTTAGCGCTGGCGCTGTAGCAGCCGGTGTGTTTGCTTAAATGATGGAAAATGCTGTGTGTGTGTGTGTGTGTGTGTGTGTGTGTGTGTGTGTGTGTGTGTGTGTAATATATATTGTGCACCTGAGGATACAGTGCGAGGGAGAAGTGAGAGTGACACTACCCAGAAGGCCTCGAGTGTGCCCACTGGAACAGAGGAGTGATTGGTGACGTGTGTGTGTGTGTGTGTGTGTGTTTGACACAGTTCATTAGTTCTCCTCTGGAAGCTTCCTCTGATAAATACAGTTATTGGGACTTTAGCTGCTATTCCACTGCTGGAAGTTTCTCCAGTGACGGGAAACTTTTTGGAGGAACTGGGTGTTTCACTGTGTAAAATCAAGATTCACAGCTTTACCCTTCATGTTCTCTGAAAGCCTTTTAGCTGTGAGGTGACACCCCGGTAATCTGTCTCTAAGAGAGAGAGGGAGAGAGAGAGAGAGAGATAGAGGGAGGGAGAGAGGGAAATGCTAAACTAAGACGGTGTCTGACATATTTTCTATCCTTCCTTCACCTCCATCTGCTCTTTTGTTATTTCTTCTCGTCTCGCTCGACCTCGATGTCTCCCTGGCTCCGATTGTTTTCACACTTTTCTGTTGCCCGTTCTTTAAACACGATCCATTGAAAGAAACAACGACGGGCAGCGGTGCTTTGGTCTCATCTGTGCAGCAGACACCAGTCACCAGTTTGTCTTAAGATATATCGAAGCACTTTTTCTATGCTGACACTTCAACACTTTATCTGCAGCTACAACGTTGCACAATAGCTCCTCCTTAAATCTGTGCTTTCACTTTGTCTGCAGGTGATGGCGACATGAAACACACGGACTCTGTGCTGGACAGCTTCGAGTATTTCCACGAGAAGGGCAAAGAGAAGGAGGGCGACCTCCATAAATCGTACAACGACAGATCCTACCTGAGCTCAGAGGAGACGAGCCTCGGTGAGAGCCGCACAGGTACGCACTGAGCGCCCTATGACATCGTAACTACAGGCGGCATTTACTCTTTAATTTATAGATAACTAATAGAAGTGGAAATATAAATGCTACATGCTAAATGAAGGACTTCTGTTCATGCATGTTAAGAAAGGCGGTGCTGTGAACAGGAATGTGTTTACCGTGGCTCTAACCCTGGGAGTTTCTCTCTGCAGACTTTGTAGCGGTGTTGACAGGAGTCGCCGACTCATGGCTCCCCAGCTCCGGCGGCGTTGCCAGAGCTCGATTCTCTCTGACAAGAACTAGCCTGGCCTTCTCCATCACGTTCCAGAAGTAAGTCAGGCCCCGTGTCTCGGCTCAAAACGTTGCAGTCACCTCTGAATGTCTCACAGTCTTAAGAAGAAACTGCACAATGTTGTTTGTAGAAAAACAGAATAAAGAGGATGTCATCTTTACCGAGTGCTTTTGTATTTTTTTCAGAATGAGCCGCCCCAATAAAATCGTCTTCCTGGATTCAGAAGGCACCACTACTTTCGAGTACAGAGTCCCCAAGGGAGAGACCGACATGGTAAGACGTCTCATAAAAAGATAATCACCCCCCTCCCACTCCTCTGCGTGTTGTTCTCATTCTCTGTGCATGTGTGTGTGTGTGTGTGTGTGTGTGTGTGTGTGTGTGTGTGTGTGTGTGTGTGTGTGTGTGTGTGTGTGTGTGTGTGAGTGTGTGAGTGTGTGTTTCCTGAGAGAGAAAAGAAGTACGGCCATGATGAATGTGCTTCTTCCTCGACTCTGTGCTCCAACTCTGACTTCTTCTCCCATAACTCTCTCTGCAATAATAAACCATAATCACACACACGCACACACACACACACACACACACACACACACACACACACACACACACACACACACACACACACACACACGGCAACACTTCCTCTCTGCCTCTTCATAAACATCACACACTCGGCCTGATTGCCGTAAACATCAACAAACACTCACTCAGTCATCTGAAGGCACTCATCAGGGACGGAGCACATTCAGGTCAGAGGTGTGCAGGACAGAGTTTATTGAAGGGCCGATATTATGGCGATCAGTCAGTAACCAGATCTGCTGGGTTAACAGTAGTATCCCGATCCTCCCGGAGGTCACGCTCCATCACGACACATCACTTCCTGCCAACACACATCTCCCCTGAACACTCAGCTCAGCGAGGCAGGAGCCCCCTAAATACAGCTCCAAGAAATTGGCCTATTATTATTTTGAGATAAATGTCGGTGTGGAGCAGCAGAGAACCCGAGAGGGAACGCTCCAGCAGCTAAAAAATGAAGGGGGGGGGGGGCAGAACTTTTAGACGGAGAATGTTTCACACGTTACATCATCGCTTCGCAAAGGGACAGAGAGTCCTTCTAATTACAGAGGAGGTGATCTCTGAACGGAAAGTGACAAGGTTGCGGCAGGCGGCCATATTTTCTTCCTCTGCGCTGACAGAGAGACGCTCTGCAGCCTGGAAGGGGGACAGGGGGGACAGGGGGGACGGGTCCTCCAGATATCACAAATATTAAAAAGTGTATTTTTATTCTGAACGTATTCCAGGTAGCTCACATGCTGCAGAATAATTCAGGTGTTGTTTGATATCCATGTCCATTAGCCCCTCCCTCCCTCGCTGCCGCCTTACCTCCCTGTGTGTGTGTTTGTGTTTTTAGATCTGTGGCGTGTGGAAGAACCTGGCGAAGCCTCTCCTGCGGCAGCTGCAGTCTGAGCAGATGCGCATCAGCATGAGCACGTCGCCGAGCCGACGAGAGGAAGTGGAGGGAAAGATCATCAAACACAGAGCGCTGTTTGCTGGTGAGTGTGTGCACGCCTTCGTCTTCTTCAGACGTGTGCACGCCTTCATTGTTTACAAAGGAGGGGAAACGTGTCCGCTCTTTAAAAGCCCCGTGAGGATCAAGTGTGCACTTTGTTAACGCTGCAGTGTTTGTGTAGAAGACGAGAGAATGCTCACAGTGTGTGTGTGTGTTTCTTGTGTACAGAGACGTTCAGCTCCACTCTGACGTCGCAGGAGGAGGAGAACTCGGGCATGGGCGGCATCGCCATGTTAACGCTGAGCGACACGGAGAACAACCTGCACTTCATCCTCATCCTGCAGGGCCTCGTCAGACACACAGAGAGCGGTGAGTGACGACACGCTGAGGAAGGAAGTTATGGCGCCTTCAAACACGCTGATTACTAACTCCTCGTCCACAGGTTCAGATAAACCCTGAGACCAGGATGTTCCCCCCCCCCCCATGTGTGTTTCTAAACGTATGCGTGAAGTTTAAACTGTGAATGGATCAGATTATTTAATGTCAAAGACTGTGCACTGACCGAAAACGAAGACAACACACCATCAGGGAGAAGAGCGACTACTTCTACGTGGTTGTTCTGAATCCTCGCCTCAGCTGGTTCACGGTCTGCAGATGTTTCATAGTGAGCTGTAGGTCAGTCTGTTGAAGAAGGTCGTATGAATGCACGAACAGGGCATGATCGACGAGAGGAAGGAAACAAACAGAAATTTTACAGAATTCCCTCGCTCCAAACGCACACACCGTCTGTACCGTTTTGTCCACAGGGGGCGCCAGAATCAACACACAGCCTCAAACAAATGTTCCTCATAACTGCTTTATAGAAGGAGATTTCTCTTTTCAAACTTTGCGTCTCTCCTCAGAGCCTCTCCTGGTTCCCATCCGAGTCCAGCTTGTGTACCGACAGCACGTCCTGAGAGAGATCCGAGCCAACATCACGTCACATGTGAGTAACTCAAACACACGGCCTGTTGTTTACCGTGTTTATGAAAGCAGAAGTCGGCATGTTGATGGTAAATATGTGTGTCTTCTGTTGCCCGACAAGTTGAAGCACGTCATGAGAGGGAGGTTTCAGTCAAAGGTTTTATTGGTACAGACGGGGTTTAAGGGGGGGCTTGTGGTCTGTCTTCACCCCTCCTCACGGAGATGGATGTGGTTTGATCACCACATCCTAACACTGCTGTCCCTGCCATCGGCGCTCTAATCACAGTTAAACGACCCCAAGACATGACAAGGGAAACGGATGGAGAGGAAGAGAGAGGCTGAGAGAAAGTGTGTGAAAAAGAAGAGCGCTCTGAGGGGACGGGTGGAAGCGAGGGATGAGAGACGGAGAGACTGAGCACACGCCCCTCGCACATGTCAGTGGTTAGTGGTCTGTGGGCTGAGATGGAGGGAGGAGGAGAGAGGGGGGGTGAAAGGCGGGTCTGTTTTGAATCCTGCCAGCGATCATGTGAAGAGCCAGTGCGCCGCTCTCCAGCCGAGTGGTGAGGGAGACCGGCCACGAAAAAGTCCTAAGTCAGCAGCGGTCGCATGAGCCAGGATCTGGATCGGGATTCTTAAAGCGCTGACTCATTGAAGCCGAGTCACAGGCACACAAACAACACGGCGCCCACTTGTTCTAAAAGCATCTGATGGGATCTCTCTATCTGATCGGATTAAATCTAGAGAAGATTCATGGAGGAACAAACTCAAATAAACTTTAACACAAAACATAGGTTTGATTTCGTGCATCCAGATGTGGACGTTTATAAATCCTTTCTGTTGAAGTGATGAAGCCTAGTGGTCATATCGTGTGCCCCATGTACGGAGGCTGTGGTTTCTCCTCTCTCTCTTTGCTTCAAAGTTTGACACGAGAATACACCTGAAGGTTTAGTTTCTAGTGGGTGGAGACAATTGAAGGATTTTGCAGCTTTTAGAGGATTCATGAATGCTGCCCCGCAGACCGAGTCCTCGTTGCTGTAGTCGCAGGTACGAGTCCTGATCCTGGTGCTGATTAGTGCACGTCGTCCCCCGCTCTCTCTCTCTCCCTACCCGTCTCTCTATTTCTGCCCTATACAGTTTGGGTCAGTCGATGGGTTTGACTTTCGTACAGAGATATGAAAACAGGAGGGGATGGTGCTGATGTGTGCCCCGTCCCACTCCGCCCTGTGGCTCTCTGCACAGTAAGAGTTGCCTCAGGATGAGTGTGATCCAACCCAACGATGGCTTCGAAAAGAGGCTGTGCAGTCAGATGGATGAGATGATCCTGCAGAGCGAACGATGGGATTTCCAAACCAGGCTCCTTCTGATCCAGATCAAACTGTGAACATCTGGGAAACTCACCGTAGCTAAACACTCACATGTGAAGAGCAACGGCATCTGAATTCTAAATGGGTGGAGTCATCTTTCATTGCACCAGTCATCCTGACAGGGTTATTGCTCTCTTTTGCATCGCTCGTTATGACATCCGTTCAATATTCCCGACATAACTCTCGCTCCCCCCCTCCCTCCGCTAACAGTCCCCCCTCCTCTACTTTGGCTCCTCGCTGTGTGGATTTATGGTACATGTATATTTATATTGAACCGAGGCCCTGGGGTCATAAAGAAGTAACATTTCTTCAACGCGCTCGTACATCTGTCCTATTAATTCCACATTTCTCAACTTCTTGACGACTACCCTGCACCCCCGCCCCCTCATGCACCCCCTCCTCCAGCCTTCCTGGGTTCCAGTCCTCTTCTGCTCGAGATCTAACTTCTCTCAGTCTGAAACCAAAGCCATATTTTGTCACCCGGGGGTTTAAGCACTTGGGTTGGTGGATGGTTGATTTAAGATCATGTGTTTAAAAGTGCTAAATAATATTCTGATCATGCAGAGATTTCTTCCCAATGCTGGTCTTGTGTCTTTGCTAACAAGTCCGTGTTGCACTCACATGTTCAAAAGATATTTGTTGCACATTTTGAATTCAGGACATTGAAAAGGGAATTTGTGCATGATGGAATCTGATTTATTTTGACCAATTTTCTGTGATTTAGCATCCAGCTAAATGTTTCCATGTGTGCCTGCAGGATCCAGACTTTGCCGAGGTGCTGACAGACCTGAATAGCCGTGAACTGTTTTGGTTATCTCGCGGCCAGCTGGATCGCTGTGGCAACAGAGGGTCCAGATCCGCGGCAGATCTCTGGTTTCATCAGCGGCAGGAAATCGTGTGACAGTAAGTATCCCCTGCAGAGAAAAATGATGTTCTTCACGTCTCTCTTCACGTCAATCCAGCGACAAACACTGCGGAGGCAACAAAGGTTTCCGACAATGTGTTTAGGGTTGTTTGTGCTCGCCATCTGCGTCTGTTTTTGTCATTCAACTCCATAAATACATCTCTGTCCTTTCAAGTGTTATCACGGGGGGAAAAGTGTGTTTATAGACCTTCTGTTGGAGCTGGTGGCCCACCTACACTGTGTGTGCACGTCTGTGTGTCTGTGTGCACGTCTGTGTGTCTCTGTGTGTGTGTGTGTGTGTGTGTGTGTGTGCACGTCTGTCTGTGAGCAGGTCGGTCTTTGTGCACGTCTGTGTGTGTGCATGTCTGTCTGTGTGCAGAAAGAAAGAGAGAGAGGTTTTAGGAATGTGGTGGACGGCCGTGTCGTTTGTTTCATGGGATTCGTACTGGAACATGAACATAGAGGATATCTGGCCCTTTCATAGACACATTTAAAGATGTGCATGTAAGCAGAGAAATATGCATAAAGCTACTTTCACTGTCAGCTTCACACAGGGACGTAGAGCGCCGCTGCCAAGGTCAAAGTCTGCTGGACCTGACGCTCAGTGCTGGTGATTAACGGCTTGACGTTATGCAAAAAGAATTCAAACCCAACACACTTCTTTTCCCTCTCTTCCCCTCGTTCTCCCCCTTTCTCTTACCCGCTCTCTCTCTCTCTCAATCTCCCACTCCATTCCCCATTTCTGGCGTAATTCCTCCTCTCTGGCTTTTTTCTGTCACCGTGTCATGTTCAAAAACTTTTCTCTGTGTTAGTCATTCCCTCCTGTCCTCTCAGCTCAATCTATTTAAGCCTGCTGCATTCAACTTGGGTTACCTCATTCTTAGGCTTAACCTTGGGTGGGTTTTTGTGTGTGTGTGAGTGTGTGTGTGTGTGTGTGTGTGTGTGTGTGTGTGTGTGTGTGTGTGTGTGCGTACCTGACAGACATGCAAGGTCGGCACACAACCTGAGCAGACACACCTCCTGATTAGAAGTCCAATTGAATCTGTCCCAACAAGGAATCGTTCTTGGTGAAGGGATGACGTCTGTGTGTGTGTGTGTGTGTGTGTGTGTGTGTGTGTGTGTGTGTGTGTGTGTGTGTGTGTGTGTGTGTGTGTGTGTGTGTGTGAATGTGGCCCTTCCTCTCCAACCAGCACATTTGGACATGACAGGAATCATTGCCTCATCTTGCATCTCGTCTGCGGTTCAAGGCGGGGAAGCTCTGCGGGGAAAAGTGATGCTTTACGATAAGTAATCCGAGCAGGAATGTGATATTCATCTGCATTTGTTCTGCTCAGCCATACAGAGCGTGATGTCCAGCGGGGACGCGTTGACCCCGGGGAAGACGGGAGGAGTGGGATCTGCGATCTTCAGCCTCCATGATAACGGCACGCTCGACTACCAGGTACGGGTTTATTCATGCCGGGGCAGAAAGGTTGACCGTTTACTGTGATTATATAAAAGTGAAACCTGCGGATGCAGTTTTTAAAAATAACCATAATGTTCATTTTAAGCTCGTCTTGCGTCCTGAGACCCCCAACTTCCCATTAGACAAACTTTAGGTCGGGTACAATCACTTCTATCTGAACCACTTCTCTTGCCCTCTTCCATCACTACAACACCTGTTGGTTTGACCTGATAACTGCTCTCATATCTGGCAAACTGAGGGGCGTCCAAAACGCGTGTGGGGGTGCCTTAAAGCCGCCTACCTTCTCTGGTCCAAACAAATCCAGAGCATTCAGGACCAGAATCTAAAGTTAGAAGGAGGACATACTGGCTGCTGCATTGTTGTCAGAGAAGCCAGCACTTCAACATAGCATGTTTCCTTAATGTCTGATCATATAGTAAGGTCACTTTGTGATTTCACACTGATTGGACCTTTAACTTGTCCTGTTTGTCATGTGTTCTTCTGGGTATCTTCTGATTGACAGAGTTGATAGAAAACAGAAAGAGAAAATGAATGATCAAACTGAGGCTGAATGTCAGCAGTCTGACTCAGATTTTTAAACTTTTATGGACAAAAACAATGTCATGGCTAAAAGTTTATTTTTACCTTCTAAGACCAAAACAATATCTGCTTCTTCTGAGACTTTATGATCGGCAGGATTTGTAAACGATGGAGGAAAGCTTCACTCACGAGGTGTGTACTGCTTCAAACACCCTTTAGCGTCAACATGCATCCTCCTGCACAGTGAAGCTTCAACACCCAAGGAAAGCTTTAGTCAAAACAGCAACATAAAAATGTTTTCATGTAGACCCTTACAGGGGGAGGGGGAGGAGCTTACAGAGCTTCAAAATAAAATAAAGATGCAGGAAATAAAATCATTCAGGGCTCAATTAAACTGTGGTGCAGTGAAACCCATAAAAACAAACAAAGGATAAAAAAATGTTTTCTCCCTCCAGGTTCAAGTCGCAGGCCTCACCAGCGAATTTTTGGGCCTCACCATCGAGCTGAAGCCAAGGCGTCGAAACAAGCGCACCGTGCTGTACGACCTGACGCCTGAGTACAACAAGGCCACAGGCCAGGCTCAGGGCAGCTGGAGCCGTCTGGAGGCTCGACACATCCACATGCTGCTGCAGAACGAACTGTTCATCAACGTGGCCACGGCACACAGCCAGGACGGCGAGCTAAGGGGGCAGATTAAAGCCATGCTGTACAGCGGCCTGGAGGCACCCAGACACGGTATGGATGAAAAACAATCTGAGAGGGGGAAGGTCTCTGGGAATAACTTTCTAAATGTGCTGAGAAGTCCCAGTTTGAAGTCCTGATTGCACGCTTCTTGTTCATCTCTTTCAGAGCTTCCCACTCTCCTCGCCGGTTACTTTGTGTCTCCAGCTGTAAGATCGGGCGCTTCTGGCCACGCCTGGGTCTCAGTGGACAAACAGTGTCACCTGCACTATGAGATCGTCGTCTCGGGCCTCAGCAAGGCCGACGATCTCACTGTGAACGCCCACCTGCACGGACTGGCTGAGATCGGAGAAATAGACGACAGCAGCACCTCACACAAGAGGCTGCTGACAGGATTTTACGGCTCACAGGTACGTCAGTGAACACGAACGCTTAGATGCAGAAATAAAAGCTACATGTGCACATGTCCATTCAGGAAGTTACTCAAACACACTCTCATCTGGTCTCCTCTCCTCTCCTCTCCTCTCCTCTCCTCTCCTCTCCTCAAAGGCTCAGGGAGTGTTAAAGGACATCAGTGATGAATTACTGCAACACCTGAACCAAGGAACAGCCTTCATCCAGGTCAGCACCAAGATGAACCCGCGAGGAGAAATTCGAGGACGGGTACGTAAAGAACAGACTTTAATTTATCACTTTCTACATTTATCGTTGAAGCTGGCGACACACTCGATGATTTTAGACCATATTTGCCCCCTTTAATGATCAGGGAGGAGGGGGGGGATTTGCGGCTTGAGTGTTTACATGTCAGCTCACTCGGCCCTCCCCCAGCGGCCCACACAGTCGCACACTTTCACTGGCAGCTGCCGTCTGCCTGGAGGGGCTTTGTGGAAGAGTAAAGCTTTTACTCGTGTTCAGAAACACACACAAGCACAGGCCGCCGTTACCTACAAATGTTTTTATAGCTTTGCAGGTGTAGTGGGTCATGAGATCATTCAGGCTTCTAGGTAATAACATGGAAAGTGATCGCACACACACACACACACTCACAGTCAGGTCACGCTGTTTTAATAGCCAGCAGGTCAAACATATAAACAGCCATCTGCTTGTGCAGGAGTGATTAACAAGTCAGCTTGACGCCAGCCTCGAGTCAGGTGTGACCGGCTAATCTCTAACGCCCTGACCACCTCTTTCTCTCTTTCTCTCTTTCCTCCATCCGTCCTTTTTGACTTCTCTCTCTAGGTCCACGTGCCAAACAACTGTGAGTTCGGGACCAGGGCGAGCCGGAGGAGGCAGAGTTTGACGACCTCTTTGTGAAGGATCCTGAGGAGCTGAGGAAAGACCCCCACACCTGCTTCTTTGAGAACCAGCACCACGCTCACGGCTCCCATTGGACCCCAAACTATGACAAGTGTTTCTCCTGCAGCTGCCAGGTAAGGCCGACAAACACGGAGGCAGGCGGTGACCCGTCTTTGATGACTCACTCGACAGACAAACATGTCAAAGAGAAAAGCAGGAAAATCCATTTAGGGGATTTCTTTTTAGTCTACGTGTCTCTAAAATCTGTTGTTTTTTCTGCAGAAGCGGACTGTGATCTGTGATCCCGTCATCTGTCCCGTCCTGACCTGCACCAGAACCATCCAGCCTGAGGACAAGTGCTGCCCCATCTGTGACGGTGAGAAGCACGGGATGATTTATTGTTGTACATTAAGCCCTGAGTATACTCACAGCCTTGGGTTTCCATTTCCTGCGTAGGTTTGGAGCGTTGGTTGTTCATCTTCTCAGGAATTAACGCTAGGCGTTCATGAGATGCAACATGCACATAACCACTAGGGGCAGTATAGAGTTGTACAGTGATGAGACCGGACAAGACAACATCGGAGACCCCAGAGAGCTGCTACAACGACGGAGGAAAGTTTAGAAATAAAGTCAATAGATCAAGTCCGCTCAATAAATCAACTAACCACACTTTGATGAGTCATTGCCGTTGCATAGCAACAAACATGCGTGCCAAAATAGCCGGTGACAGATACTGCCTACTTCTGTGTTTAATGTGGTCTGATTTATGTGCTGCTCCCTCTAGAGGAACCCTCCAATAACACGAGTTGTACATAAGTACGCAGCTCAGGTGTTTTTGTCGGATGATATTCTCATGATGAAACAGAAAGTGCTTTCAGTATCAGTGAGGATGAATAAATAAAGTATGTGTGACTTGATGCTGCCAGACCCAGAATGTGAAGATTTGTACGCTCACAACGACAATCATAAAGATGCAAACTCAACTCTGTTTTTATGTGCCCATTTCCTGTTCCCTGTTCAGAGAGGAAGGAGCCCAAGGACATGAAAGCTCCAGAGAGGATAGAGGAAAATCCTGAGGGTAGGTACCTCCTCTCCTGTGTCACACTCAGCCTCTCTCTCTCCTTTGCGGTTTCTCTTCCCTCCCCTCATCTCATGTTCACGTTCTCTGAATTCATGCCTGCAGGTCAAATGTAACCCTGAGTCTTTCACGCCATTTTCTCGCTGGCAGTAACGCTCTGTCCTCTCCTCTCTCACAGGTTGTTACTTTGAAGGCGACCAGAAGATGCACGCTCCAGGCACCACGTGGCATCCCTTCGTTCCTCCCTTTGGCTACATCAAATGTGCCGTCTGCACCTGCAAGGTAAACAAACATGAATGAACCCGCTCACATCTGGACGGCTTCGCTTTCCAAACGGCCTTAATGGATCATTTATCTCGTATTAAAGAAACAGAAGCATGAACAGAAGTCTCGTCTGTTTAACTATTCATGTGGGAGGAAAGCAGCGAGTCAGCTCTTTTTCTGCCAGAATGAAACCACAGCTGCTAACCCGACTCTAACGTTACCTCCACAGGGGTCTTCAGGGGAGGTTCACTGCGAGAAGGTGACGTGTCCGGTGTTGACCTGCACTCATCCCGTCAGACGTAATCCCTCCGACTGCTGTAAGGAGTGTCCCGAGGAGGAGAAGACTCCTGCAGGTCTGGAGCACAGCGACATGATGCAGGCAGATGGACCCAGGCACTGCAAGTTCGGCAAAAATTATTACCAGAACAGCGACAACTGGCATCCCTGGGTCCCACTGGTCGGGGAGATGAAATGCATCAACTGCTGGTGTGATGTAAGTGTTGATATTAAAGTGATAGAAGTCCGGTTCACTACGAGTTCCAGATTCTTTTGACCACATGAAAACCTACGACAGGTCAAATCTTCTACTGCAGCGTCCTACACATCTGGCAGGTGTTTACATCCAGGATTATAAAATATCACTGAGGTTATTAACATGCAGCGTTTCACACACAGAGACATTGATGCCCCGCTAGATTTAAGGGATATTTTTTAATTTGCAGGGACTCAAACCTGGACTAGTATGATCAAGATTCAAGTATTGTTCTACAGAAACAAATTAAACAAAGCTTAAAATGGTAATATGAGGATTCACCTTCTGACTTTGTGCAGCCTCACTTTGAGCTCCTGGCTTCAGGATTCTGTCTCAGGAGACCCCCCACCCCCCCTCCGGTCTGACAGGGATAGTCTCCCACTGAGAGGTGCATGTATGAACAACCAGGTCAGGAGAATATCCGGAGCAGTCCTCCTGAAATTATCTAGATATTTTCAGGAGTGCATGTGTGAAAACTGCTGAACGCTGAAGCAGGCAGATTTTCTGGTGTGAAAATAAAGAAAGCTCTGATAAACGTAGCGTAGTCTGACTTTTTAGTGTCACACAGTTAGCCCTGAGCTGCTGATCACAGGAGAACGCTAGCAGCTAAAGAAGCGTCCTCCGGAGTCGGTGGAGACCAAAACAGAGATAAAAGAAAAAGTAAAAATGTGAATGCTAACGTTGCTGCGGATGTGCTGGATGTGTAAATGTTCATTATGCAGAGTCATTCATCTGCACAGTTTCTCTCTTTTCACCGACTCTTCATCTCCCTCTCTTCTTCTCCGCAGCACGGTGTGACTAAATGTCAGAGGAAGCAATGTCCGGTCCTGACCTGCAGCAACATCACCCGCAGAGAGGGCGCCTGCTGCCCCGACTGTCTCGGTGAGCAACCAACGCACGCACACAGAAATACTTGAACTCTGATATGATGGCGAGCCCTCCATGGTCAGAAACATATCGTGAAAGTTAGGTCAGGTTTTAGCGAGCTGACAGTTTTGGTTTCCTGTAGCGTCTTCCATCGGAGCGCCATCTTTGCTTTGAGACTTCTTAGTCCTGAATGTGTGCTCCTGTTTCTCTGCAGACTCCAAAGAAGAAGACGACCAGACGATGAAAGCTCCAGACAAAAGACGAAGCTTGAGACACTGATCTATGGGGACCCACACTCACAAACCCAAACCCTCCTGTACCCCTTTAAGCCCCTACCCCCCTCAACGGACCCAAACCCAGAGCTGCACACTGGGTCCACCCCCCTCCCCCTTCCCGCTGAGTCCAACCCACCCTGTTATCAGCTTCAGGATTGTAATGAACGGAGAAAAGAGGAATAATAATAAAAGGATCATTTTCTAAAGACTTGTTAAAGGAAGCTACGACGACGACCAAGACCAACCAGACTTCACAAACCTGCTGCCTTCTTTTTCTTGTCTTCTGCTTTTTACATTTCTCAATAAAAGGACACGAGATGTGGATATAAAGACACAAGGGGAGAGTTCAGAGGGATCCTTTCAGGTCGTCAAAGTTTCAGTGACAGGACTTTCTAAAGTTACTGCTGTCGCTTCACTGCTCTGACTGAAGAGAGAGAGGGAAGTGTTGCTGCATGAATGTGAATTTACAAGAGTGGTTTGATTTTCTTACCGGTAAAGAATGAAACGTACAAGGTTTAGTTTTAGTCAAGACCACAATAACTGAGACCAAGACCAGAGGGCACTGAGACCAGAGGACTCCGAGACCAAGACCAAGACACTTAGGGATCGAGACTGTGTCAAGACCGAGACCAAGGCAGGGTGAGACCAAGACCAACAATAGCCTACCTGTGGTGGTCTTGACCGGTCTTTACTTAAATCTTGAGTCCGCCCGGTCTGAGGCCGAGTTAAAATGAGATGAGAGCGACGACTTCAGAACGCGGTCCTGAGACCGATCTTGACTTCTCCCTCACTACCTCCCGGTACCTCCTGGGGTCCGTAAGAAGAGTCCTCCAAGTCCTGTTGATGTCATAGCTTCTCGTCTGCGCTCGTTTCTGTTTCTGTCTGGAGTTTAGTCATATAAGAGTTCTTACTATTGTTGTAGTTTATGGATAAGGAGCTGGTTTGTATTTTGTATTTATTGAATGATGTTGAGACAAATAAAGAAGTTTGTTGGTTAAAAAAAGGAAGGCATGTCTTTGGGTTTGTCGAAGCTAATTGAAGCGTTTCAGATTCCAAGAGGCTACCACTGAGCCACAGCCGCCCCCACCCATCATCTCTGTTTCTCTCTCTGTCTTTCCTCGTATTCTTTATCCGCTGGTTTCCTGGATTTGTCCTCGATACCTCCCACGTTTCATCTCTTTTTACAGCGTGTCCTTTTCTCTCCGTCCCGCTTTAGCAACGTTTCTTTCCTTTACTTCTTTATTCTTTCCTTCTCTTCTACACCATTGTGTCCTTCTCCTCCTCTTTCACTCTTTTACTTTCCGTTTACTTCTTCCCCTTTTCTCTTCTCTCTGACTCTTCTGTCCATTTTCCATCCTCTTCCCTAAACTTGTACTTCCCCTTTCTTTCTTTCTTTACTCAGACAGTCACCACATGTGCTCGGCTTTGTTTTGTCCCTTACATACCTCCCCATGTGCACACACACACACACACACACACACACACACACACACACACACACACACACACACGGAGCGCAGACAGACTGAAACATAAACACTTATCCACAGATGTACACATGAACAAACTCCTCAATCAGGAACACACACATTGCCAAAGGGAAAGCAGAATTCTTTCCACACACAGACACACACACAATCACAGACACACACACACACACACACACACACACACACACACACACACACACACACACACACACACACACACACACACACACACACACACACACACACACACAAACATCTGCTACTGCACTCTGCTGGCTGAAATGCATCATTACACCAGGGAGTCCTCCTGAAACCCAGCTGGTTTTAAACACCTCTGATGGCACCTGTTGACCTCCCCGAGGCCCTCAGGAGTGTGTGTGTGTCTGTGTGTGTGCAGGGAGGGGGTTTGTCAGAGCCGGATGCTGGGGATCAAAGGTTAAGCATCCTGAGCTAAGGTTTCTGTCAGCCTGTTTAAAAGTCACGAGTCGACAGTTAACTTCATTAATTTTTTTTTTGTCTTCATGTGAAGATCTTCATGTATTCATCACTTCACTCTGCATACTGTTCATCTATCCTGTCTATACGAGGAGGAAGATCAGCCGCCGCTTGCACCTCTGCCACTTTCACCTCTGCCACTTTCACTGTTTCTCTTGCTCGACCTTTGACCCCACGTTTCTACCTCTTTAATATTAAGTCTTCTGTATCACACATCTTATCGTATCGTGGTGTAGTGTGAATTATGATCTTTCTGAAAAAAGTCTGACTTTAGTGATAAAGTGATAAGTGTGAAATGTGTTCTTTAAAAACCTCTGAGCTATTTGCAGTTTCTCTCTCCTTCTTTAGTTCTGCTTGTCCGTACGTGTGTCAGAGAGAAAGGCAGGACGTGAGAGATCACTAGCGCCTTTAAAAACACGCCAGCACTGATGGTGACGGATGAGATCACGAAGACAGAAAATACAAACTCTAAGCATACACACACACACACACACACACACACACACACACACTGTTTTTTATTGACAGTAGAGGTGTGACGACAGGTGGTACAGTGATCAGAGGGGTCTCACCCCTGTTCCTGTTTTCATGTTTGTATCCGTGTATTTGCTTGAAAGGAAATCCTGAGCTTGAGAAAAGAAATGTCTTCAAAATACAAATTATATCTTTCTTTCTTTCAATGACCCATTACCCAACAAATGTTTGTCTATACCTCTGACAATTAACAAGAAGAAATTTGAGGAACAGGTAACTGTTATTTATGCTGCTCAACTGTTTGTCTTTGTTTTTATAGCTATGACAGAACAGATCTATTCTTTTCAATTCTGAGACACTTTTCACTCTACAGCGGGGAGAGGGAGAGAAAGGGAGGGTGCATCAATATCTTATCACTGCTGCCCTCTGCTGGGGAACAGCTGAACTACCAAATAACTGCATTAAGTATTTAACCATCCTTATATACACACGAGCCCCATAAAGCATCGCTAACTGCTTCTTCAGCCGTGTTTCACTGCAGCAGCAGCCGCCTTTATGGCGCCATAAAGAACGCTTTCAGAGCTGTAAAGCTGTGATGCTTCAGACTGCCTCTCAGGCGTTTATTCGCTCCACTGATGCCGTGTTGCTCAAAGGGACTCTGGCAGGAATCACATAATGTGTATAGTGTGTGTATCTCTTTCTTTTTAAAGATTTATTTGTGGGCGTTTATTAGAGAGACAGGGCAGTGGATAGAGTCTGAAATCAGGGAAAGAGAGAGAGGGGAATGACATGCGGGAAAAGAGCCACAGGTCGGCTTTGAACCTGGAACTACAGCCTCTGTACATGGGGTGCACGCTCTAACCCCTGCTCCACCAGCGCCCCATAGTGTATATATCTTTAACCAGCTTTCTCAACCTTCAGGCTGTTCGTGCATACACAAACAGATAAAGGTGCATTTGGGAGACGATTGAGAAAATCAAACGGCCTGTGACAGTAATTATTTTAGAAATTCAGCTTCATGTTTCTCCTGAGCCTGCAGCTACGATCCACCTCTGGGCTTACAGATGAAAGCACTTGATGTTTTGTACACGGCCGAGTGTTATATTTAAAAAAAAAACTAACTTTGGTGAAACAACATTACAGAGGGCAGGAGACGACTTTCTTACTCCCTCCTTTGTAGAAAGCTTTGACCTGAGTTCAAAAGTCACCACCCAAGGAGATCAGGAGGTTACTTTCACTCGTCCATCATCCTGCCCACTCAGCGTTGCCTTCACCAAAATCAAAACAAACAGAAAGTTCCTCACAGCAGCTTTAACGAGAGTAAATGTCATAGACTTGGTAATGCTCAATGATTGTCTGGAACTTGTCACTTGGTAATATTGAACTTAAATATGATTTGCGTAGATTTTATTGCCTTTCAACTTGAAACAAGTACCTGTTGTTTAACGTAGAAGTTAAATTGTAGAGGTCCGAGAATGGAGCCCTGAGGGACTCCATGCTCCATTTTTGCTCGAATGATGCACTTATGAATTGACATAAAGTACTGGTTTCAAAACTTCCACCCAGTGGTCTTATTTGGCCAATAACATACTGCGGATACTCTTTAAAAAATATATAAATAAGAGGAAAATAATGTAAGTTAGCACAAATATGTAACCAACAAGCGTTTTCAATCTCGTAAGTAGAAGGCAGAAAACCTAGTAAGGAGCAGTGATGATGATTTCCTGTGCAAGCTGGTTTATTTTTATTGATATATCTGTCGCCTCCAGCAAAATGTCTTTGTGTTGTGTACTTGTAATGTGTTGTACTTGTGCTGTACTTGTATCTGGCAGCTCCCCTTATTCTAAGCTTCGTACCCTTGGATCCTGGTCAAGTTTTTACTTGTGGTGCAGTCTTGAGTCAGAGGGAAACTCTCAGGGCTCAATATCTAACTTAAAGCCACTTAAGCCAGACAGCAGGCATTTGGGATGCTGGGGTCTGAACCCCAGACTTTCCACTCAGGTAACTTGCTTCTTGATTCTCCTCCCAGGTCTCCGCTTGGGGAGACGAATGTGCTGCACGTATCCGGATGTTTCTGTGGTTACATCAGCCAGCCTGTGAGAGGTAACCTTCACATTTTTTCTTCATCTTGACCATGAAAGATAAAAAAAATACTTCACATGCATGATATTTCAGAAATCCTTATTTTTCTTTCCTGATAGATGTTTTTGAAGTGACATTAAAGGTCGTCTCTCTTTTTATGTTCGAAGTTTGCAACATTTTCAGGAGATGTCTGTCAAAGTTTAGCACTTTGCTCCAAAGTAAATCTGTGAAAAGCAAAACTGCAGGGCGTTTTTTTTTCTTTTTTAGAATAAATATCAACAGCAAGGCCTATTTTAAAATGTTGCTTTACCTTTCATCATTATAGACGTGTTGCATACATGGTTGAAATCAGTAGTGAAATCATTTCCACCGTGGGCAACTGAAAACAAACGCTTACAGTGTGTGCAGAACGCAGCATCTTCATTGGCTGGTACTTTTCACAGGAAGCTGGAGCTCTTTGGAAAACGCTGACTTCCTGTTCAGCATGACCGCTCGTCTACCTGTCGTTAGGCAGCAGGTCCTGTTAGCATGATAAGCTAGGCTAGCTAAGCAACAGCCGCAACACTGAGATTGATTGACACATGAACAGGCCAATCAGCATTATCTTGATCTGCCGGTAAAATCCAAACATGTCTGAACCGTCTGAACACACCTCGCTGTGCAGATCAATTGAATATAGTATTACAGTATAACTAACAAATCGTTTAAAATGAATCCTTTTCTCTTTATTTCAGTCGAATCCTCAACCTAAAAGTAGAATTTCCATTCCTCAGTATACTCTCTCTCTGACTGATGGAGGACAGATGTTTATGAGTGAAAGAGCAGCTATTGCAGCCGCCCGTTATGTCTCCTCTGCCAGCTGGATATGACATCGTTCATCATTTCCTGCATCTTGTATCTTTCACTGCACCCCCCTCAGTGACTACAGGGGCAGATATGCTAATGTCAGACTATCTTTACTCCGACTCTGACATCGTTATCTGCTGCCAGGGCCCACGGGTTGAGGGGGCCAGAGTCTGTACAGCCAGGATCGGATGTTTTATCATCATTTCACCAACACAGTTCTGACATCTGCTCAGACAGAAGGAGAAGGGGGGGAGAGAGATTCATGGCAAGAATGATGAACATAAGGAGATGAAAAATGCATTTTGTTTTTATCGCTACATTCTGAATGTGTCCGTATCGATCATTTTATCTACCAAATGTTCTCCGGTGGAAAAAAAGGATTTACGGCTGCAACATGAAGAAGAGCTGTAGCCATTCTTGGAGCCGCTGACTTGATGACGTGTCACACAAAGACGGCGTCCAGGCAGACGAGTGGGCTGCTGAAGAAGACCAAAAAAGAAAGTAAGATTTACATTAACCTCATGGAAAGAGAACTGGAAAATAATCAAGGAAGACAGTCAAGTTTTCTTTAGAGAGCATGTCTGAAAGTCTGAGGCACAAAGTGCTTAGA